CAGATACACCATACACTGGATGTACACCAGATATAGGTTGTACAGAAGACGCATCAGATACACCATACACGGGATGTACACCAGATATAGGTTGTACAGAAGACGCATCAGATACACCATACACTGGATGTACACCAGATATAGGTTGTACAGAAGACGCATCAGATACACCATACACGGGATGTACACCAGATATAGGTTGTACAGAAGACGCATCAGATACACCATACACTGGATGTACACCAGATATAGGTTGTACAGAAGACGCATCAGATACACCATACACGGGATGTACACCAGATATAGGTTGTACAGAAGACGCATCAGATACACCATACACTGGATGTACACCAGATATAGGTTGTACAGAAGACGCATCAGATACACCATACACTGGATGTACACCAGATATAGGTTGTACAGAAGACGCATCAGATACACCATACACGGGATGTACACCAGATATAGGTTGTACAGAAGACGCATCAGATACACCATACACTGGATGTACACCAGATATAGGTGTTACAGAAGACGCATCAGATACACCATACACTGGATGTACACCAGATATAGGTTGTACAGAAGACACATCAGATACACCATACACTGGATGTACACCAGATATAGGTTGTACAGAAGACGCATCAGATACACCATACACTGGATGTACACCAGATATAGGTTGTACAGAAGACGCATCAGATACACCATACACTGGATGTACACCAGATATAGGTTGTACAGAAGGCATCAGATACACCATACACTGGATGTACACCAGATATAGGTTGTACAGAAGACGCATCAGATACACCATACACTGGATGTACACCAGATATAGGTTGTACAGAAGCGCATCAGATACACCATACACTGGATGTACACCAGATATAGGTTGTACAGAAGACGCATCAGATACACCATACACTGGATGTACACCAGATATAGGTTGTACAGAAGACGCATCAGATACACCATACACTGGATGTACACCAGATATAGGTTGTACAGAAGACGCATCAGATACACCATACACGGGATGTACACCAGATATAGGTTGTACAGAAGACACATCAGATACACCATACACTGGATGTACAACAGATATAGGTTGTACAGAAGACGCATCAGATACACCATACACTGGATGTACACCAGATATAGGTTGTACAGAAGACGCATCAGATACACCATACACTGGATGTACACCAGATATAGGTTGTACAGAAGACACATCAGATACACCATACACTGGATGTACACCAGATATAGGTTGTACAGAAGACACATCAGATACACCATACACTGGATGTACACCAGATATAGGTTGTACAGAAGACGCATCAGATACACCATACACTGGATGTACACCAGATATAGGTTGTACAGAAGACGCATCAGATACACCATACACTGGATGTACACCAGATATAGGTTGTACAGAAGACGCATCAGATACACCATACACTGGATGTACACCAGATATAGGTTGTACAGAAGACGCATCAGATACACCATACACTGGATGTACACCAGATATAGGTTGTACAGAAGACGATCAGATACACCATACACTGGATGTACACCAGATATAGGTTGTACAGAAGACGCATCAGATACACCATACACTGGATGTACACCAGATATAGGTTGTACAGAAGACGCATCAGATACACCATACACTGGATGTACACCAGATATAGGTTGTACAGAAGGCATCAGATACACCATACACTGGATGTACACCAGATATAGGTTGTACAGAAGACGCATCAGATACACCATACACTGGATGTACACCAGATATAGGTTGTACAGAAGACGATCAGATACACCATACACTGGATGTACACCAGATATAGGTTGTACAGAAGACGCATCAGATACACCATACACTGGATGTACACCAGATATAGGTTGTACAGAAGGCGATCAGATACACCATACACTGGATGTACACCAGATATAGGTTGTACAGAAGACGCATCAGATACACCATACACTGGATGTACACCAGATATAGGTTGTACAGAAGACGCATCAGATACACCATACACTGGATGTACACCAGATATAGGTTGTACAGAAGACGCATCAGATACACCATACACTGGATGTACACCAGATATAGGTTGTACAGAAGACGCATCAGATACACCATACACTGGATGTACACCAGATATAGGTTGTACAGAAGACGCATCAGATACACCATACACTGGATGTACACCAGATATAGGTTGTACAGAAGACGCATCAGATACACCCATACACTGGATGTACACCAGATATAGGTTGTACAGAAGACGATCAGATACACCATACACGGATGTACACCAGATATAGGTTGTACAGAAGACGATCAGATACACCATACACGGATGTACACCAGATATAGGTTGTACAGAAGACACATCAGATACACCATACACCGGATGTACACCAGATATAGGTTGTACAGAAGACGCATCAGATACACCATACGGGATGTACACCAGATATAGGTTGTACAGAAGACGATCAGATACACCATACACGGGATGTACAACAGATATAGGTTGTACAGAAGACGATCAGATACACCACACGGGATGTACACCAGATATAGGTTGTACAGAAGACGCGCATCAGATACACCATACACGGGATGTACACCAGATATAGGTTGTACAGAAGGGCATCAGATACCCCATACACTGGATGTACACCAGATATAGGTTGTACAGAAGGCGATCAGATACACCATACAACGGGATGTACACCAGATATAGGTTGTACAGAAGACGCATCAGATACCCCATACACTGGATGTACACCAGATATAGGTTGTACAGAAGACGCATCAGATACACCATACACGGGATGTACAACAGATATAGGTTGTACAGAAGACGCATCAGATACCCCATACACTGGATGTACACCAGATATAGGTTGTACAGAAGACGCATCAGATACCCCATACACTGGATGTACACCAGATATAGGTTGTACAGAAGACGCATCAGATACACCATACACTGGATGTACACCAGATATAGGTTGTACAGAAGACGATCAGATACCCATACACGGGATGTACACCAGATATAGGTTGTACAGAAGACGCATCAGATACACCATACACTGGATGTACACCAGATATAGGTTGTACAGAAGACGCATCAGATACACCATACACTGGATGTACACCAGATATAGGTTGTACAGAAGACGATCAGATACCCCATATACGGATGTACACCAGATATAGGTTGTACAGAAGACGATCAGATACCCCATACACTGGATGTACACCAGATATAGGTTGTACAGAAGACGATCAGATACACCATACACTGGATGTACACCAGATATAGGTTGTACAGAAGACGCATCAGATACACCATACACTGGATGTACACCAGATATAGGTTGTACAGAAGACGATCAGATACCCCATACACTGGATGTACACCAGATATAGGTTGTACAGAAGACGATCAGATACACCATACACGGATGTACACCAGATATAGGTTGTACAGAAGACGATCAGATACACCATACACACGGGATGTACACCAGATATAGGTTGTACAGAAGACATCAGATCAGATACACCATACACTGGATGTACACCAGATATAGGTTGTACAGAAGACGCATCAGATACACCATACACACGGATGTACACCAGATATAGGTTGTACAGAAGACGATCAGATACCCCATACACTGGATGTACAACCAGATATAGGTTGTACAGAAGACGATCAGATACACCATACACGGGATGTACACCAGATATAGGTTGTACAGAAGACACATCAGATACACCATACACTGGATGTACACCAGATATAGGTTGTACAGAAGACGATCAGATACACCATACACTGGATGTACACCAGATATAGGTTGTACAGAAGACGATCAGATACACCATACACTGGATGTACACCAGATATAGGTTGTACAGAAGACGCATCAGATACACCATACACTGGATGTACACCAGATATAGGTTGTACAGAAGACACATCAGATACACCATACACGGGATGTACAACAGATATAGGTGTTACAGAAGACGCATCAGATACACCATACACTGGATGTACACCAGATATAGGTTGTACAGAAGACGCATCAGATACACCATACACGGGATGTACACCAGATATAGGTTGTACAGAAGACGCATCAGATACACCATACACTGGATGTACAACAGATATAGGTTGTACAGAAGACACATCAGATACCCCATACACGGGATGTACACCAGATATAGGTTGTACAGAAGACGCATCAGATACACCATACACTGGATGTACACCAGATATAGGTTGTACAGAAGACGCATCAGATACCCCATACACTGGATGTACACCAGATATAGGTTGTACAGAAGACGCATCAGATACACCATACACTGGATGTACACCAGATATAGGTTGTACAGAAGACGCATCAGATACACCATACACGGGATGTACACCAGATATAGGTTGTACAGAAGACGCATCAGATACCCCATACACTGGATGTACACCAGATATAGGTTGTACAGAAGACACATCAGATAAACCATACACGGAATGTACACCAGATATAGGTTGTACAGAAGACGCATCAGATACACCATACACGGGATGTACACCAGATATAGGTTGTACAGAAGACACATCAGATACACCATACACGGGATGTACACCAGATATAGGTGTTACAGAAGACGCATCAGATACACCATACACTGGATGTACACCAGATATAGGTTGTACAGAAGACGCATCAGATACCCCATACACAGGAGGTGGAGAGCACCTACACCACATCCATCTCATGTACATACAAGCTTTAAACAGTATGTCAAAATGTGTTAATGACTTCCAGCTCATTTCGATGAAAATGTTGTAAATAATATTGTGGTATAAAATACAAGGTTTAATATCAACAAGTGATTTTATTGTTGTATGAGTACAATTTTATCAATCCTATTTCTGTTTCAGAAAATTGATGCAAGTCAGATTGAAGAATTTTATGGAATTCCATCAGACATGCAGAAAAATTCTGAGTCTGGCTACATATTGTTCTACCAGTCCCGAGAGTGATTTCCTGGCTTCTGTCTGGTGCATGGACTTGACATATGTGTCAGTAATGTAGCTGGTGTCTACCGTAGCTACAGGAGACGTGACAAGTATGTGTCAGTACCCTGTCTGGTGTCTACCCAAGCTACATGCAACGTGATAGATGTATGGGTATGTCTGGTATCTACCCTAGCTACAAGAGACTTGACAAGGTGGTCATACTGTATCTGGTGTCAACTTTAGCTACAAGAGACTTGACAGATATATGGTTGTGTGTGGTGTCTACCCAGGCAACAAGAGATTTGACAAATGTGAAACATATCTGTCACTGCTCTACCAGGTATCTACTGACCTACTGGGTGTACATGGATGTCAGTCAATATGTACTATAGTGTATAGTCATCCCTAAGACCGTGTGACCTTGAACCTCCATGCCAGCGTAATCAGAGACAACTAACAGCTTTAGTAAAAGTAAGAGTAAAATACTTAATCTGTGTTGCAGCGTGTGCAACAGGTAAGACCTGAGATTCCTGGCTTGTCCCCATATTGCAGTGTTCAAGTTAAAGATTAAGAGATGCCCAAGGTTCAGGTTAAAGGCGGGCAGACCCACCCACAGACTCCCCATTATTCAAACACTGCAACTGCCAGTGTGACTTAAACTCTTCCATAGACACAGTCATAGACTGATGTGTCACCTTTACATGAAGGGAACATTTATGATGCCAAGGACTAACATTGGGGAGAGTTATCTCCCTTTGTGAAGCTGTACTTGTAGATTTGTTACTTTGTAACATGTCCATTTCGAAAGGAATTTCATAAATGCCATAAGTTCATTTTGTTAGCCATTGCACACACCTGAATGTCAGCTACTTGATGTGCTTATCAGCTGTGCTACACAGTGTCCTGGTAAACACTGCCAGCGTAATGGTGACGTGTAACCAGGTCCGCCATGACTGTGCACAGTGTCCTGGTAGACACTGCAAGTGTAATGGTGACGTGTAACCAGGTCCACCATGACTGTACACAGTGTCCTGGTAGACACTGCCAGTGTAATGGTGACGTGTAACCAGGTCTGCCATGACTGTACACAGTGTCCTGGTAGACACTGCCAGCGTAATGGTGACGTGTAACCAAGTCCACCATGACTGTACACAGTGTCCTGGTAAACATTGCCAGTGTAATGGTGACGTGTAACGAGGTCCGCCATGACTGTATACAGTGTCCTGGTAGACACTGCCAGTGTAATGGTGACGTGTAACCAGGTCTGCCATGACTGTACACAGTGTCCTGGTAAACACTGCCAGTGTAATGGTGTAAACACTGCCGTGTAACCAAGTCCACCATGACTGTACACAGTGTCCTGGTAAACACTGCCAGTGTAATGGTGACGTGTAACCAAGTCCACCATGACTGTACACAGTGTCCTGGTTAACACTGCCAGTGTAATGGTGACGTGTAACCAAGTCCGCCATGACTGTACACAGTGTCCTGGTAGACACTGCCAGTGTAATGGTGATGTGTAACCAAGTCCGCCATGACTGTACACAGTGTCCTGGTAAACACTGCCAGTGTAATGGTGACGTGTAACCAGGTCCACCATGACTGTACACAGTGTCCTGGTAAACATTGCCAGTGTAATGGTGACGTGTAACCAGGTCCGCATGACTGTACACTGGTTGAGGTGTTGAGTACAGTTGGAGGTGAGAGCGTTATTGTTTATCTGTCAGTGTTTGTGTGTAATTGGAACTGTTACATACTCACCAAATTAATTACTTGACACTTGTTCAATTGAATGGACGTAGTATGTGCATTTTTAGGAAAGCAGATCATCCAGGTATCAATACAGAAAATGAAAAGTGGATTCAGCTTCATTTGGGAAAAATAATGCATGACTTACCATGACCCCCAACATGAACTCCTTGGGAGACTGTGATTGCAACACGACATCTCCTCATACACAGGAGAACATGGCAGAACACACTATCCCAAAGTGATCACCATTGGTAAACGAGTGCTTGTCCAGTCTTGCAAGGTCTGGGATTGAGTCATCTGCTGTTGTACTCATCTTCCCACCTCATCAATAATGTGTTCAATCAGATTAAGGCTAGGGGAACGAGAAGCCTGGTCTATCACATCAAGTTGCATGTCAGAACTCCAGGATGGAGTGTAGGGTTGTCATGTTGAAATGGCTGTCCAGGACCTTGTAGCTGGATGATAGCTGGGGTCAAAACTTGCTCCCGATACTGTCTGTTGCCACAATCAAGAGAGATCGACCGCTATCACAAAACTTGCTCCCGATACTGTCTGTTGCCACAATCAAGAGAGATTGACCGCTATCACAAAACTTGCTCCTGATACTGTCTCTTGTCACAATCAAGAGAGATCGACAGCTATCACAAAGTGCTCTCCAATACGTTGATCACAATGCACTTGTGTCTGGATAGGTCATGTGTATGGTCGTCTAGCTCCGATACCTGCAGTGCACTGCCGATTCCTGATGATCTGTGCTCACACTCTACCTCTGAACAACTGTCTGCTTGTTGAGGCTGCAGAGATGACATAACCTGATACAGCGCCCACAGTCTTGAGGGACATAACCTGATACAGCGCCCACAGTCTTGAGGAACCTGCAGTGGTGCTGGTTCTCCGACTGTGTATTGTTTGGTGACTACTGCCTTGGACTTTTTGCAACTGCAGTAACAGCATTAAGTCTGCACATGGCACGCTCATATTACTCATGTGTGATTAGCAGCATCCTCCCTTTTTTATTAAACTTGCAATTTTGATGCCTTTTATTGTTTGGCAATATCAGTATGCTTGCACTCCAATGCATGTAGGATTGCTAAGGGGATCATGTGACTCTTTGCACGTGATTGTTGTGTTTCACACTACCAAATTTTTCATGTCGGTTGCCAAGACCATGTTCAAACCAAGTCATTGCCATGTGTATGGCATGACGAGAAACTCAAAATAATGACCACACTCACAATTATTATCACATCATGTGGATGTCAAGTTTCTAATTTTGTTGAGTATACTTGGTTTAAGCCTTATGCAGACATTGAATATTCATGCCTTCAAGATGGTATTAGTACATGTTTTTATACTGAGTGAGTACCCTTGTGTAGTTGTGAGTATCTCCTGACTCCAGTGACAGGAGTGTGAGGGACTGGGTGTACATGCTGCATGGTGGGGTTCATGTATTGCGGGTAGTTCCTGGCTGGGAATCTCCCGAGGTTCATTTGCTTTCTAGCTACACAACTCACCTGTCGACTGTAGATGGATACCAAGGTTACCTTGCTCAATAAGGAAAAACCTGTTATGTTTTCATTGTGTATGTTGAGTGTCTGTGATGTTGTTAGTGCAGGTTTTAACAAGTTATATTGTGATACGGAAATGATTGGGAGGTCAGGGAAACAAAGTTTGTGTGTCCCCTAATTAGACACATACATGCTGTGTTGTTTTTTCCATCCAGAGCAAAGTGTGCTCTTGAGTCTTCAAAAGAAGATTAGACAAAATTGTTAGGTTTTACTGAACTGGGGCTCATACTGCAAGTTGATGATTAGATTGAATTTAAACTGGGAGATCATTCCTGGTACAGGGAAGGGTATGGAAGGTCAGAGACCACAGCTGTGTTGCAGGTATTATCATGCATGGATTGTGCGGGGTGGGGGTGGATGTTTGGTGGGAATTGATAGTTGTGTCTGGGTGGGGTTGAGATGGGTGACTTGGTCGGGTTTAGTTGGGTGGGGATAAATGTTATAGTTTGGGTGAGATGGGAGGTGGGGGGAAGGTGGATATCTTCATGGTGTAGCTGTGTCAGTTGTTATGTGATGCTAATTGAAAAGGGTCAACTTTCAGTTGGATTTCTTCATTAATCATTGCTGTAAAGACAACACAGTGCTGCTAGGAGATATGCATCTTGTTCACGTGTTCAGACATGTGTTATTGGAGTCACCAGGTGTGTGTGTTAACAGAGGGTATATTGTACGCTGCCTGGTACAGTGTTACTGGAGTCACCAGGTGTGTGTGTTAACAGAGGGTATATTGTACCCTGCCTGGCACAGTGTTACTGGAGTCACCAGGTGTGTGTGTTAACAGAGGGTATATTGTATCATGCCTGGCACAGTGTTACTGGAGTCACCAGGTGTGCGTGTTAACAGAGGGTATATTGTACCCTGCCTGGCACAGTGTTATTGGAGTCACCAGGTGTGTGTGTTAACAGAAGGTATATTGTATCCTGCCTGGCACAGTATTACTGGAGTCACCAGGTGTGTGTGTCAACAGAGGGTATATTGTATCCTGCCTGGCACAGTGTTACTGGAGTCACCAGGGCGTGTGTGTCAACAGAGGGTATATTGTACCCTGCCTGGCACAGTGTTACTGGAGTCACCAGGGTGTGTGTGTTAACAGAGGGTATATTGTACCCTGCCTGGCACAGTGTTACTGGAGTCACCAGGTGTGTGTGTTAACAGAGGGTATATTGTACCCTGCCTGGCACAGTGTTACTGGAGTCACCAGGTGTGTGTTAACAGAGGGTATATTGTACCCTGCCTGGCACAGTGTTACTGGTAGTCACCAGGTGTGTGTGTTAACAGAAGGTATATTGTACCCTGCCTGGCACAGTGTTACTGGTAGTCACCAGGTGTGTGTGTTAACAGAGGGTATATTGTATCCTGCCTGGCACAGTGTTACTGGTAGTCACCAGGTGTGTGTGTTAACAGAGGGTATATTGTATCCTGCCTGGCACAGTGTTACTGGTAGTCACCAGGTGTGTGTGTTAACAGAGGGTATATTGTACCCTGCCTGGCACAGTGTTACTGGTAGTCACCAGGTGTGTGTGTTAACAGAGGGTATATTGTACCCTGCCTGGCACAGTGTTACTGGAGTCACCAGGTGTGTGTGTGTTAACAGAGGGTATATTGTACCCTGCCTGGCACAGTGTTACTGGAGTCACCAGGTGTGTGTGTTAACAGAGGGTATATTGTACCCTGCCTGGCACAGTGTTACTGGAGTCACCAGGTGTGTGTGTTAACAGAGGGTATATTGTACCCTGCCTGGCACAGTGTTACTGGTAGTCACCAGGTGTGTGTGTTAACAGAAGGTATATTGTACCCTGCCTGGCACAGTGTTATTGGAGTCACCAGGTGTGTGTGTTAACAGAGGGTATATTGTATCCTGCCTGGCACAGTGTTACTGGTAGTCACCAGGTGTGTGTGTTAACAGAGGGTATATTGTATCCTGCCTGGCACAGTGTTACTGGTAGTCACCAGGTGTGTGTGTTAACAGAGGGTATATTGTACCCTGCCTGGCACAGTGTTACTGGTAGTCACCAGGTGTGTGTGTTAACAGAAGGTATATTGTACCCTGCCTGGCACAGTGTTATTGGAGTCACCAGGTGTGTGTGTTAACAGAGGGTATATTGTACCCTGCCTGGCACAGTGTTATTGGAGTCACCAGGTGTGTGTGTTAACAGAGGGTATATTGTATCCTGCCTGGCACAGTGTTACTGGTAGTCACCAGGTGTGTGTGTTAACAGAGGGTATATTGTACCCTGCCTGGCACAGTGTTATTGGAGTCACCAGGTGTGTGTGTTAACAGAGGGTATATTGTACCCTGCCTGGCACAGTGTAATTGGAGTCACCAGGTGTGTGTGTTAACAGAGGGTATATTGTACCCTGCCTGGCACAGTGTTACTGGTAGTCACCAGGTGTGTGTGTTAACAGAAGGTATATTGTACCCTGCCTGGCACAGTGTTATTGGAGTCACCAGATGTGTGTGTTAACAGAGGGTATATTGTACCCTGCCTGGCACAGTGTTACTGGAGTCGCCAGGTGTGTGTGTTAACAGAGGGTATATTGTACCCTGCCTGGCACAGTGTTACTGGAGTCACCAGGTGTGTGTGTTAACAGAGGGTATATTGTACCCTGCCTGGCACAGTGTTACTGGAGTCACCAGGTGTGTGTGTTAACAGAGGGTATATTGTATCCTGCCTGGCACAGTGTTACTGGAGTCACCAGGTGTGTGTGTTAACAGAGGGTATATTGTATCCTGCCTGGCACAGTGTTACTGGAGTCACCAGGTGTGTGTGTTAACAGAGGGTATATTGTACCCTGCCTGGCACAGTGTTACTGGAGTCACCAGGTGTGTGTGTTAACAGAGGGTATATTGTACCCTGCCTGGCACAGTGTTACTGGAGTCACCAGGTGTGTGTGTTAACAGAGGGTATATTGTACAGAGTATCACACTGGCTGTTGCTGCTGTTGCACTCTGGGCTCACATGTTTAAACCTCTTGTCAGGATGAGGCCCAGCACAATATATCATGTTCTAATGTGATAACACTTTCTTAAAAGGTGCAAGGACTAATTAACATTTTATTGTTGCCATGGTTGCCATATGTTTTACAGATTGCATATGTTGTGCCTGGGATATGTCAAACTGTTGCATGGATAGTCTTGATGTAAGTTCAAACACGTTATTTATCATAATATATTTAGGAGAATGCTAGAGTGAGTTCTGACATGAGTTCTAATGTGAGTGATGTGTGAATACAATGTTGTGCATTTGTCTGACTTACATCTGTGTACACACTCAGTTTGGCTAAGATCTGTGCACACCACTGAGTCCTACTTAGATCTGTGTATACTGAGTGACTGACTTAGTCTGTGTACACACTGAGTCCTACTGAGATCTATGTACACACTGAGTCCTACTTAGATCTGTGTACATAATGAGTTTGACTTAGGTCTGTGTACACACTGAGTCCTGTGTAAACCCATTGCGTCTTGCTATTATCTGTGCAATTGAGTCTTTAAATCAGTGAGTGAGTTAGTGAGTGAGTGAGGTGCTTTCTTTGGGAACCAATCAGTTCATGTATATTCTTGGTGATTCCACAGTTCTAGATTGGCCTCCATGTGAGTCTTGTACTAGTGTATTTGGTATGCACATGTTTATATAGCAGTCAGCACAGAACCAAGCAGCATCTCTAGTAGCTGCACACAAATGGGGAGACTTTGTAGGGCATTGAATTCTGAAGAACAGTTAGTTACATGATGTAAGGAACCAGGAAGTGTACAGGTTATCAATCCACCGTCAGGGATCACAACATGATTGTCCATAGCCTGGGGACCACACAGTCTGCCATCTATTCATGCCGTAACATGTCAGTAACACAGGTGATATCTGCATCAGATCATGAAAGGAAATACAAAAGGTGATATCTCCATCAGATCATGACGGGAAGTAACACAGGTGATATCTCCATCAAATCATGAAAGGAAGTACAAAGGTGATATCTCCATCAGATCATGACAGGAAGTAACACAGGTGATATCTGCATCAGATCATGACAGGAAGTAACACAGGTGATATCTCCATCAGATCATGACAGGAAGTAACACAGGTGATATCTCCATCAGATCATGGCAGGAAGTAACACAGGTGATATCTCCAGCAGATCATGACGGGAAGTAACAAAGGTGATATCTCCATCAGATCATGACAGGAAGTAACAGGTGATATCTCCATCAGATCATGACGGGAAGTAACACAGGTGATATCCCCAGCAGATCATGACGGGAAGTAACACAGGTGATATCTCCATCAGACCAGACAGGAAGTAACAGGTGATATCTCCAACAGATCATGACGAGAAGTAACACAGGTGATATCCCCATCAGATCTTGTCATGAACTAACACAGGTGATATCCCCAGCAGATCATGACGGGAAGTAACACAATCTCCATGATATTGTCGCATGATGTATCTGACGGACAGACCTCCCGAGGTCCTCACTGGTTGCACAAAAGGAGGTTTTTGTCATGTTGTTAGTGGTAAACAGCTGTTTGTCACACAAGCTCAAATTTTGATTTGCACATGTAAAATGTGAAGCGATATCCTTTGTTATTTCCTGATTGCCACTGTTACATCTCACCTGGGTTATCAAGTGTTTGCTTGTACCCAGCCTGGCTGATGACAGAAATGGCACAGAATGCATGGAGGTACTATGTGTGATACTTGACAGCTGAGTTGTGTTTCTGATGAGTTTTCCATCTCAGTGAACCAAATCCATCATCTGTTATAAGTACTTTATCAATTACATGTTCAATCTTTTCATGTTGATGATTTTTCCACTGCGGTCAACAATTTCTGTTTAGATATATTGTTTGAAGAATGATCCTCCAGATACTGTTTAGTGTACCACTGCTTCCAAATAAGATCATGGATTGATAAATAGAACATTGAATCTGCCCGTACAACTTCATTATACGTCAGCATATTGGTTTTTTTATATACTGTTCAATGTTTATGGGGATATTCTGCGTGTCAAGGTCAAAACTGAATGTGACCGGTTGATTTAAGATATAGTATACATTATTGCCACTGAAGTGCTACATCTCCAGTTATGTTTCTAATGAAACTAAAGAGGAATTCACATTTATTGTAGCATGAAAGAGCAAGTAAACTGACAAAAATGACTGAGATTTGTTGTAAATATGTTTTTATAGATACATTTAGTCAGTTTTAAAGAGTGAAAAATTCATAACATTTATAGACAGCATTTACATATCCATGTGAAAATGATGAAATCCCTCACTTGTAATCTGCTTCCAAACATGTATGTACTTGGTGGCAACACCTGAAGCTACCAGTGTAGCAGTGTGTGACAAATGTTGGCTGATATGCTGACTCGAGACTATCTTGTGATCCTCACCACCAGCGTAGCAGTGTGTGACAAATGTTGGCTGATATGCTGACTCGAGACTATCTGGTGATCCTCACCCCAGCGTAGCAGTGCGCGACAAATGTTGGCTGACGGATTCTGCTGCTGCTAACCCAACTATAACTACTAACATTGTGGAATGTGGGATACATCGCCTGATGTCGATGTGGGATACATCTCTTGATGTGGGATACATCACCTGATGTGGGATACATCACCTGATGACATTGTGAATAACTGACGTAACAACTGTCTGTGGGTATCGGCGACCACCAGCTGCACTCCGCCCTACTCCACATGAACATTGCGTGTCAGGGACAGAACTTGTTCACATGGTAATGGAGGAGCAGACTGGGCAACAACCCATCTTGCCCTATTTCTGTGTTTCAAACCTAATTTTGATCAAGTATTTGTTATTCAGTATGCCTTAAAGTATTAAAATCTGTGGAGTTCATGTTAAGTTTACTTGCCCTTTAATGCTTGGTGTTTTTATTTAATTAACTCAGTATCCCTAAGAAATGTTAGATATGTTGTGTAGAGTGGGTGTGTCCTACCAGGGACTGCTGATGCCCTGTGCTGATGTGGATATTCCTTCTGAATGTATGTTAATCTGTGTTGCCCAGAAGCATGTTATTTATTCCAGTGTAGTCATCAGTGAAATGATGCTTATTTTGTACACCAAACTGTGAACAAACAATATTCTGTACAGTGTAAATTTGTCAATAGTTGTCCACAACATGATGAGTGTATGCCCCTGGTATCTGTATAAACACTCAGTAACCTGACTTGATGGTAGCCTTGTACTTGCTGGAGGGTTACCTGGTACTTCCACGCACTAGGTCTTACTGTTGCTCTCTTTTCATTTGCTTAACTATATTTGTACATGATTTTCTTCTTTGTAAATGGCCTTCATTTGAAACCACTGACTGAACCCTAGAGGTTGCAACACATCACATTAGTTTGTACCAAATTACATATTCATTGTCTTGTCATTTCTTGAACAACTTCAGTCACCATTATGTGGGGTTATTCAGTGTCTATAAAATGTTAACAAATAAAAAAAACTCTTTGTTCTTTGTTTGATTCTCTCAAGTGCCTGTTGATGATGATTTAGAGATTTTATGTGCGCTTTCCGACATATTTCACACACAGGCCTGCCCGTCCATTTAGTGGTTGATCAAAAGAGGGGTGATTTGACCGAAAGATATGGCAACTTGAAGAGGGCGTTGCATAATCAATTTTTGTTTGAATTTTGAGTTTTGAATACTGAGTGGTTTGATTGGTAATTGTTTTGTTTGTTTGTTGTTTTTTTTCAGGTTATGTGTTTGTTTTATTATTGTCTCTGGCAGGAGTGAGTGAAGGGGCAGTGTCTTGTCACTGTCGGGTGAGTGAGAGGGTAGTGTCTTGTCACTGTCAGGGGTGAGTGAGAGGGTAGTGTCCTGTCACTGTCAGGGGTGAGTGAGAGGTTAGTGTCACTGTCAGGGGTGAGTGAGAGGACAGTGTCCTGTCACTGTCAGGGGTGAGTGAGAGGGTAGTGTCTTGTCACTGTCAGGAGGGAGAGGACAGTGTCTTGTCACTGTCCGGAATGAGTGAGAGGGCAGTATCTTGTCACTGTCAGGAGGGTGAGGACGGTGTCTTGTCACTGTCAAGGCTGAGTGAGAGGGGAGTGTGTTGTCACTGTCAGGGGTGAGTGAGAGGACAGTTTCTTGTCACTGTAAGGAGTGAGTGAGAGGGCAGTATCTTGTCACTGTAAGGAGGATGAGGATGGTGTCTTGTCACTGTCGGGGGTGAGTGAGAGCAGTGTCTTGTCACTGTCAGGGTTGAGTGAGAGAGCAGTGTGTTGTCACTGTCAGGGGTGAGTGAGAGGAGAGTGTCTTGTCACTGTCAGGGGTGATTGAGAGGACAGTGTCTTGTCACTGTAAGGACTGAGTGAGAGGACGGTGTCTTGTCACATATTTAGACAGGTCAGGCTTTCCTCATACACTCGCTGACACCAAGGAATATAAGTGGAATACTCTTAAATGTGGCATTTAACCAAACCTACTCACCTTGACATGACCAATTATTTCTGTGTTCCTTTCAAATGGCAATGCCTGTTACATCAGTAATAGCAGTTGCACCACTGCAGGAAGTATTCACTTTGTCTTGTTGCAAGGCGAGATTAACAGGTCATTTGATGAAGAAAAATACATATCCTGTTCATCTACCTATGTTCTGTTTTGAACCACAAATGATTGGGGGTCATTTCGATGATATGCTCTCAGTCTTCACTAAAAAATGCATCACGTTTTTCAGTATATTTATGTTTGGTATATATTTCCAATTACGTTATTTCACTCCAAGGCCAGACCAATTTATTTCTTGTTTTACGGATCCACCGGTCATATTTTTTCAAAAGAAGAATTCTCCCCGGTTAAAAAATAAAATCCTAATTTTTGTTTTGGCCAAACATGTAAACTTACAAGAAAAAGTTTTTAGATTGTTTTTTGCCCCATATACACTTCATAGATTGCCAAAAGTAAAATACTTTTAGTATTTAGAAGGAATATTACTTTGACTGGTGATTTTTTAAAAGATTTTTCCCCTCCTGCCTTTAAGTTTTCTGAGGACAAAAATCCGTAAAACAAGAAATATAATTGGTCTGGCCCAAGGATTTACGGAGTTATATTTCCTATTTGTTCCTAAAACTAACTGCATGTCAACACTGAATACATGATAAATATTGGTACATTGCTTGTAATTCCATTGAAACAGAATAGGAAAATCAACTGGAAAAAATCAGCATACACCAAGATATTTTCTTAAAATTTATTTTAAAGATCTTTTTCATGCCAAAATGGGGGCTCTACAATACATACACAATTACATAATATATTATCCTCTTTAATTCTTACTTCCAAATTGACAGCTAGAACCACAGCCCCTCACAAAACACTTACACAACTTACATTCACAGCATGGAAGGTGCTCCACAACCTGTATTATTACACTGACAGTCAACAGCAAGGCACTTACAGCCACACCATTACAACATGTAAATCCCTCTCTCCCTCCACATCACAGGCTTAGAACAATCATACTATTAACACAACAATTAAATTACATTCCTCATAATTACATCGTTCTAAACCCTGTTTCTGAATTACAGTGCATATCAGTGATAGTCCCATGTGGTCCAGGAGGTGACTCTAGAGCTGGTCTGTCGTGTTCCTCCTGACTTGAACATGTTGTCTGCTGGTAGATATCAGTGATAGCCCCATGTGGTCCAGGAGGTGACTCTAAAGCTGGTCTGTCGTGTTCCTCCTGACTTGAACATGTTGTCTGCTTGTAGATGTGCTAGGGATTCTGGTGCCATTAAAACAATATCATTCTGAAAAATGTCTCTTACACACCACAAACATAAACAAATGATTAACATCAGTGGATCTTCAATCATCTAGACTGTTTCACTAGGTGAATAAAACCGCAGAACACTCACTCTCCCTCATACACACGTCCTAAAGTTACGGCTAACTAGGTTGTACAAATGTACACTGTTATGACAAGGACTCTTCAAGACTTATCTGTGAAAATTTGAACATATCCTCTACATCCTTTTGCCTCGTCTTTGAGAATTTCAAACCCTTACACAGACACTCACACGACTGACATACGATGGATCGCGATGGATTGAGTTGGATTGAGATGATTCTTACACAGCAGTTCGCAGTGATGTCTTAAAGGTCGTAGTTGTTCAAAATGAATACTTTTTACAGCTTTTTGTCAACATATACCTGACAGAAAATAACATATTCCAAATTGAACAGAACTTATTCCTATTAATAATGAACTTATTCCTGATACACTGGATGAAACTAACAATTTCTCCAGTTAACAGTAATGATAGTGTACAGTAATGATAGTGTACAGTAATGATAGGGTACAGTAAAGATAGTGTACAGTAATGATAGTGTACAGTAATGATGAGGCTGTGAGGCGACACGAGGCCTCACTTGGACAGGTGCGAGCTGGTGTCTGGCAGGTCTAGAAGCGGCCTGCACTGTACTGGTCTGGGAAGGTAAAGGAATGGCTGCCATCACCCATCACCTTGGGCAGAGTACCAGCATTGGGAATCACATTCCAGGACAATGTCATCGTCACATTCTTATTGCCCCTGAAAATAAAAACACATAAAATTAGTCCCATGTATCAATGATTGCCACCATGCGCAAGTGGATACAGCGTCGATCTGGAGACTGGAAGGTCTGCGGTTGAATTCTCAGCCATGTCATAGCAAACGAAGTTAGAAAATGGTATTTGTTGTTACCATGCCTGGTGCTTGCAATAAACGGGTAACAAGGAATATGCGGCTCAGTCATCATCCATGGTACCTCAGTGAGCTGGCACTATACAGCTAACATTCGGCTAGGGTAGTATTGGCAGCAAGGCTGTATTAAACTCCGACACATCACCTAACAACTAACTACTGAGACAATACACAAGGATGTTATGTGATACTGTCATCCCTCGCTATAACGCAGGTCTTGGGGTCTATGGATGACCCCCCGCGTTGTTAGGCACTCGCGTTATAGTAACTTATACGTAACACGGAATAAAGGCCAAGTAAAATTGTATTTTCCATGGACAAAACAGAACTGCCCAGTGAAAATTATATCGTATTGTTGGGGCTGGGGGGAAATTTACAGAAAACGTGATTACAGAAAACCCTCATTGGATTCTCAGTATGTTTTGATCGAAACTATGATCCGTTATCAGTAGTGTTTAGTTGTAACAGTGAGTACTTCCTAATTAATTCCTTCTTAAAGATAATCCTAATTAAATAACAAACAAGTGACACTTTCAACTCAATTAGCCCTATTTAGTTTACACTACCGCATCCCTTTGATTCATGCCGCACCGTGTGTAAACGTGTGGAAACAACCTCAGTTCAGAGGGATACTTGCCCATGAAAGGTAGGTGAATATCGAGTTACTTTGCAAATATCAAGTTAAAAGGGTAATTTTGCATGTTGGGACCATGAAATTATATCGAGATATCCGAAATATCGAGACATCCATATCGAGTTAATAGAGCTGGAATAATGATAAATTATGAAGGATTTTGCCTGGACCGAGATGTTATAAGGAGACAACTGAGATATCGAGTTATCAAATTTCGACACAACAGTGCTCAATTGTATGTATAATCTGTTCGTGATTGTTGAAAATAATGTGAAATTGGTCCTATCGCAGTAGGAGCAAAAAGCGGACCCTCATGAACATGGTAAGCAGAAGTTGTATGCGTATAGAATGAGGTCAAGCCATTTCACACGTTTTTTCCATTGTTACTGTAAACAGTTTTAATAAATGAAAAAGGATTTAATTTAATCAAATACAATGAAAACGAAGAAGATCGTTTTATTATGTGTTTCTGACACCATAAGTTTTCAGATGGCAGGGTTGACCCACGCTATAACGCCATGTGTTGCATCACAGCAAACATCGTAAGTACTCGGCTGATGGCATGTCTTTATGATAAAGTTGTCTTTTATAAGTTATGATGTTCTGCTGTTTGTCTGATTATTCAAGAAAACCATGAATGTTTTTGAGCATCTGAAAAGCCACGGATATGTATGATAAACACCGTTCAATGCAATCCGCATTGAATTTCACTAGTTTACAACTTGAGCTCAACAGAGGATTTGTTGATAGGCTATTTTCGATGATGTGAAGATGTGTGATCTCTGGGCAACTTTTTTTATGGGAGCCACGGATTACCCTGTGGTTTAACCAAATCCGCGGTATCATGAAGAGCGTTATTGCGAGGGATGACTGTATATCAACCCTGCTTTAGGGCAAGTATTTATCAGTGTGTCATGTGAGAGCAAGACCAAAGTGGTGCCATGAACACATCAGCTTTGGTCAATCCTGTTAAGATCGTGGTTAGAAATGGTATTCAGCAATCCAAACAACAAACAAAATGGCTGGAACAGACCAAAGCACAGTGAAAATCTGGGATTCCAACTGATGAAACACTTGACTCCATGCTTTAAGTTTCAGCTGACAGTGGCAATAATCAAGCTATGACCAGTGACTGATATTATGAGTGACATCACACGTTATTTAGGTACAATGACACACACTCAATCATTATCAAGTCACTTTGAAGCAGCATAGATTGCTCAGGATCCATTATAACAAATAGACCCCAATGCTTGCAGGGGATACTTAATGTGTAGATGGGTGTTGATTTAGCAGGGGATTTGACAGCAACTTACTTCAACCCATTGCCATAGTCCCAGAAGTAGTACTTGGTGTTGGAACTCTTCAAATCAATGATAGCATTATCTCCACGCTGGATAATCTTGTCCCACAGAACAACCTGGTTCAGCTTCTGCAAAAACAAAGATTACATTCTCAAAACATCCTCCATATATGATTTTTGTACTGACATCCTCTACACACAAAGATTTCATTCTGATTTAAATCAGAAAAACAATGAAAATGGTCGTATACAAACATCGTCAACCATACTCAGTTTGGAGTTACTTGTTATTATAATTATTTTTATGTTTTCGCTTATTGAAATTTCTTTTAGCTTGTGGCTCAAAAGGTCACATGTAGTCTATTGCTTGTGCTTTACAAAGTTAAGTACTAACCTTGTATTAACATCCTCTACACATTATATTAACCTGATTATATTATTAACACACGCTTTCTACATAGGATTTCTCAACTAACATCCTCTACACACAATGATTACATTGTCAACATATCCTCTACACACAATGATTACATTGTCAACATATCCTCTACACACAATGATTACATTGTCAACACACCCTCTGCACAAAATGTCTACATTGTCAACATACCCTCTACACACAATTACACTGTCAACACACCCTCTACACACAATGATTACATTGTCAACACATCCTCTACACACAATGATTACATTGTCAACACATCCTCTACACACAATGATTACATTGTCAACACACCCTCTACACACAATGATTACATTGTCAACATATCCTCTACACACAATGATTACATTGTCAACATACCTATACACACAATGATTACATTGTCAATATATCTTCTACACACAATGATTACATTGTCAACATATCCTCTACGCACAATGATTACATTGTCAACATATCCTCTACACACAATGATTACATTGTCAACATACCTATACACACAATGATTACATTGTCAATATATCTTCTACACACAATGATTACATTGTCAACATATCCTCTACGCACAATGATTACATTGTCAACACACCCTCTACACACAATGATTACATTGTCAACATACCTATACACACAATGATTACATTGTCAACACACCCTCTACACACAATGATTACATTGTCAACATATCCTCTACACACAATGATTACATTGTCAACACATCCTATACACACAATGATTACATTGTAAACATATCCTCTACACACAATGATTACATTATCAACATATCCTCTACACACAATGATTACATTCTTAACACATGTTCTACACACAATGATGACATTGTCAACATATCCTCTACACACAATGATTACATTGTCAACATATCCTCTACACACAATGATAACATTGTCAACACATCCTCTACACACAATGATTACATTGTCAACACATTCTCTACACACAATGATTACATTGTCAACATATCTTCTACACACAATGATTACATTGTCAACATATCCTCTACACACAATGATTACATTGTCAACATATCCTCTACACACAATGATTACATTGTCAACACATCCTCTACACACAATGATTACATTATCAACATATCATCTACACACAATGATTACATTGTCAACATATCCTCTCCACACAATGATTACATTGTTAACACATCCTCTACACACAATGATTACATTGTCAACATACCCTCTACACACAATGATTACATTCTTAACACATCCTCTTTATATGATTACTCTACTAACATATGTATATGTGGACACAGTTAACAAGGCATCTGAATTTGAAGCAGGTTTGTGGTTCAGTTCCCCTCTTGGAACTCGGACACTTAATGGATACGACTGAGACTGCATGCTGTGATATGGAGTCATGCGTTATCAGTGTCAAATCATAGGTGACTGATAACAAGTTAAAAACAATGCGAATAAAACAGAGGCCATTGTATTTGCTCCACCCAACAGATTCAAGAAGTGTTCAGTGGAGGGTTTCCGTACTGGAGAAGAATATGTTCCTTTTTCATGCTGTGTTAAAGATTTTGGCGCATACATCGACTCATCTCTAACCATGGAAGGTCAAATCAGCTCTCTATCCAGAGCTTGCCATTATCACATCAGGAATAGTGATGCTAGTAGACATCCAGAATGTCCCAGAAACTCTAATGCGATCACTTATTCTGTCTCGTCTCCACTACTGCAATAGCCTCCTCTGTGGTGTCACTAAAGATCAATTCCAGCAACTTCACAGCGTGCAGAACGCTGCAGCGAGGGTAGTGAGTACAACTAAGCTGAGAGATCACATTCAACCTGTCCTCAAATCTCTTCATTGGCTACGTGTAGAAGAGAGGATACAGTTCAAAATTCTGTCATTGACATACCAGGGTGTTCACAAGACATCTCCTCCATACCTACGAACTTTAACATCTGTCCACTAGCCTACACAAAACCTACTAACTTTAACATCTGTCCACTGAGTACACAAAACCTACTAACTTTAACATCTGTCCACTAGCCTACACAAAACCTACTAACTTTAACATCTGCCCACTAGCTTACACAAAACCTACAAACTTTAACATCTGTCCACTAGCCTACACAAAACCTATTAACTTTAACATCTGTCCACTAGCTTACACAAAACCTACTAACTTTAACATCTGTCCACTAGCCTACACAAAACCTACTAACTTTAACATCTGTCCACTAGCCTACACAAAACCTACTAACTTTAACATCTGTCCACTAGCTTACACAAAACCTACTAACTTTAACATCTGTCCACTAGCTTACACAAAACCTACTAACTTTAACATCTGTCCACTAGTCTACACAAAACCTACAAACTTTAACATCTGTCCACTAGCCTACACAAAACCTACTAACTTTAACATCTGTCCACTAGCCTACACAAAACCTACTAACTTTAACAGCTGTCCACTAGCTTACACAAAACCTACTAACTTTAACATCTGTCCACTAGCCTACACAAAACCTACTAACTTTAACATCTGTCCACTAGCTTACACAAAACCTACTAACTTTAACATCTGTCCACTAGCTTACACAAAACCTACTAACTTTAACATCTGTCCACTAGCTGACACAAAACCTACTAACTTTAACATCTGTCCACTAGCCTACAGAAAACCTACTAACTTTAACATCTGTCCACTAGCTTACACAAAACCTACTAACTTTAACATCTGTCCACTAGCCTACACAAAACCTACTAACTTTAACATCTGTCCACTAGCTTACACAAAACCTACTAACTTTAACATCTGTCCACTAGCTTACACAAAACCTACTAACTTTAACATCTGTCCACTAGCTGACACAAAACCTACTAACTTTAACATCTGTCCACTAGCCACAAAACCTACTAACTTTAACATCTGTCCACTAGCTTACACAAAACCTACTAACTTTAACATCTGTCCACTAGCTTACACAAAACCTACTAACTTTAACATCTGTCCACTAGCCTACACAAAACCTACTAACTTTAACATCTGTCCACTAGCTTACACAAAACCTACTAACTTTAACATCTGTCCACTAGCTTACACAAAACCTACTAAGCTTTAACATCTGTCCACTAGCCTACACAAAACCTACTAACTTTTAACATCTGTCCACTAGCTTACACAAAACCTACTAGCTTTAACATCTGTCCACTAGCTTACACAAAACCTACAAACTTTAACATCTGTCCACTAGCCTACACAAAACCTACTAACTTTAACATCTGTCCACTAGCTTACACAAAACCTACTAACTTTAACATCTGTCCACTAGCTTACACAAAACCTACTAACTTTAACATCTGTCCACTAGCTTACACAAAACCTACTAACTTTAACATCTGTCCACTAGCTTACACAAAACCTACTAACTTTAACATCTGTCCACTAGCCTACACAAAACCTACAAACTTTAACATCTGTCCACTAGCCTACACAAAACCTACAAACTTTAACATCTGTCCACCAGCTTACACAAAACCTACTAACTTTAACATCTGTCCACTAGCCTACACAAAACCTACTAACTTTAACATCTGTCCACTAGCCTACACAAAACCTACAAACTTTAACATCTGTCCACTAGCCTACACAAAACCTACAAACTTTTAACATCTGTCCACTAGCCTACACAAAACCTACAAACTTTAACATCTGTCTGTCCACTAGCCCTACACTTTTAACAAAACCTACACAAAACTACTTTAACATCTGTCCACTAGCCTACACAAAACTGACTAACTTTAACATCTGTCCACTAGCCTACACAAAACCTACAAACTTTAACATCTGTCCACTAGCCTACACAAAACCTACAAACTTTAACATCTGTCCACTAGCCTACACAAAACCTACTAACTTTAACATCTGTCCACTAGCCTACACAAAACCTACTAACTTTAACATCTGTCCACTAGCCTACACAAAACCTACTAACTTTAACATCTGTCCACTAGCCTACACAAAACCTACAAACTTTAACATCTGTCCACTAGCTTACACAAAACCTACTAACTTTAACATCTGTCCCTAGCCTACACAAAACCTACACATCTGTCCACTAGCCTACACAAACCTTTACACAAAACCTACTAACTTTAACATCTGTCCACTAGCTTACACAAAACCTACAAACTTTAACATCTGTCCACTAGCTTACACAAAACCTACAAACTTTTAACATCTGTCCACTAGCCTGCACACTAATCTAAAACTTTAACACTGTCCACTTTAACTAACTTTAACATCTGTCCACTAGCTTACACAAAACCTACTAAACTTTAACATCTGTCCACTAGCCTACACAAAACCTACAAACTTTAACATCTGTCCACTAGCCTACACAAAACCTACAAACTTTAACATCTGTCCACTAGCCTACACAAAACCTACAAACTTTAACATCTGTCCACTAGCCTACACAAAACCTACTAACTTTAACATCTGTCCACTAGCCTACACAAAACCTACTAACTTTCAACATCTGTCCACTTTTAAATCTGTCCACTAGCCTGCACACAAAACCCACTAACTTTTTAATACATCTGTCCGCTGGCCTACACAAAACCTACTAACTTTTTAACATCTGTCCACTAGCCTACACACAAGTCCACCTACTAACTTTAACATCTGTCCGCTGGCCTGCACAGCCTACCACTAAAACATCTGTCCACTGGCTCTACACAAGACCTACTAACTTTTAACAACTGGCCTGCACAAAGACCTGGCTAACAACATCTGTCCACTAGCTTACACAAAACCTACTAACTTTTAACATCTGTCCACTAGCTAGCACCTACACAAAACCTACTAACTTTTAACATCTGTCCACTAGTCTACACAAAACCTATCTGTCCACTGGTCTACACAAAGACCTACTAACTTTAACATCTGTCCACTAGCCTACTGCACAAAACCTACTAAAGCTGGCACTAGCCTTTAACATCTGTCCACTAGCCTACACAAACCTACTAACTTTTAACAGCTGTCCACTAGCTTACTAACTTTTAACAAACCTCCTACTAAACCTTTAACATCTGTCCACTAGCCTACACAAACCTACTAACTTTAACATCGTCTGTCCAAAACCTACTAACACAAACCTACTAACTTTAACTTTTAACATCTGTCCACTAGCTACACACAAAACCTACTAACTTTTAACATCTGTCCACTAGCTTACACAAAACCTACTAACTTTTAAATCTTTAACATCTGTCCACTAGCCTACACAAAACCTACTAACTTTTAACATCTGTCCACTAGCTTACACAAAACCTACTAACTTTAACATCTGTCCACTAGGCTGACACAAAACCTACTAACTTTAACATCTGTCCACTAGCCTACACAAAACCTACTAACTTTTAACATCTGTCCACTAGCTTTACAAAACCTACTAACTTTTAACATCTGTCCACTAGCTAGCACTGTCCACTAGCACAAAACCTACTAACTTTAACATCTGTCCACTAGCCTACACAAAACCTACTAACTTTAACATCTGTCCACTAGCTTACACAAAACCTACTAAGCTTTAACATCTGTCCACTAGCTTACACAAAACCTACTAACTTTTAACATCTGTCCACTAGCCTACACAAAACCTACTAACTTTAACATCTGTCCACTAGCTTACACAAAACCTACTAACTTTAACATCTGTCCACTAGCTTACACAAAACCTACTAACTTTAACATCTGTCCACTAGCTTACACAAAACCTACTAACTTTAACATCTGTCCACTAGCTTACACAAAACCTACTAACTTTAACATCTGTCCACTAGCCTACACAAAACCTACAAACTTTAACATCTGTCCACTAGCCTACACAAAACCTACAAACTTTAACATCTGTCCACTAGCTTACACAAAACCTACTAACTTTAACATCTGTCCACTAGCTTACACAAAACCTACTAACTTTAACATCTGTCCACTAGCCTACACAAAACCTACAAACTTTAACATCTGTCCACTAGCTTACACAAAACCTACTAACTTTTTAACATCTGTCCACTAGCCTACACAAAAACCTACAAACTTTAACATCTGTCCACTAGCCTACACAAAACCTACAAACTTTAACATCTGTCCACTAGCCTACACAAAACCTACTAAACTTTAACATCTGTCCACTAGCTTACACAAAACCTACTAACTTTAACATCTGTCCACTAGCCTACACAAAACCTACTTTAACAACTTTTAACATCTGTCCACTAGCTTTTAACATCTGTCCAAAACCTACACAAAACCTACAAACTTTAACATCTGTCCACTAGCCTACACACAAAACCTACTAACTTTAACATCTGTCCACCCAGCCTACACAAAACCTACTAACTTTAACATCTGTCCACTAGCCTACACAAAACCTACTAACTTTAACATCTGTCCACTAGCCTACACAAAACCTACTAACTTTAACATCTGTCCACTAGCCTACACAAAACCTACAAACTTTAACATCTGTCCACTAGCCTACACAAAACCTACTAACTTTAACATCTGTCCACTAGCCTACACAAAACCTACTAACTTTAACATCCATCTGTCCACTAGCCTACACAAAACCTACTAACTTTTAACATCTGTCCACTAGCCTACACAAAACCTACAAACTTTAACATCTGTCCACTAGCCTACACAAAACCTACAAACTTTAACATCTGTCCACTAGCCTACACAAAACCTACAAACTTTAACATCTGTCCACTAGCCTACACAAAACCTACAAACTTTAACATCTGTCCACTAGCCTACACAAAACCTACTAACTTTAACATCTGTCCACTAGCCTACACAAAACCTACTAACTTTAACATCTGTCCACTAGCCTACACAAAACCTACTAACTTTAACATCTGTCCACTAGCCTACACAAAACCTACTAACTTTAACATCTGTCCACTAGCCTACACAAAACCTACTAACTTTAACATCTGTCCACTACACAAAAGCCTACTAACTTTAAAACATCTACTAACTTTAACATCTGTCCACTAGCCTACACAAAACCTACAAACTTTTACATCTGTCCACTAGCCTACACAAAACCTACAAACTTTAACAGCTGTCCACTAGCCTACACAAAACCTACAAACTTTAACATCTGTCCACTAGCCTACACAAAACCTACAAACTTTAACAGCTGTCCACTAGCTTACACAAAACCTACTAACTTTAACATGTCCACTAGCCTACACAAAACCTACTAACTTTAACATCTGTCCACTAGCCTACACAAAACCTACTAACTTTAACATCTGTCCACTAGCCTACACAAAACCTACTAACTTTAACAGCTGTCCACTAGCCTACACAAAACCTACTAACTTTAACATCTGTCCACTAGCCTACACAAAACCTACTAACTTTAACATCTGTCCACTAGCCTACACAAAACCTACAAACTTTAACATCTGTCCACTAGCCTACACAAAACCTACAAACTTTAACAGCTGTCCACTAGCCTACACAAAACCTACAAACTTTAACAGCTGTCCACTAGCTTACACAAAACCTACTAACTTTAACATCTGTCCACTAGCCTACACAAAACCTACTAACTTTAACAGCTGTCCACTAGCCTACACAAAACCTACAAACTTTAACAGCTGTCCACTAGCCTACACAAAACCTACACTCTCCTGATCACTTCCTCCTTCGTGTTCCTTCCTCAAAGTTGAAATCATTTGGTGCCAGAACTTCTCAGTATGTGTCAGCTGTACTTTGGAACAGTGTATGAAACTCCTAAAAAAACCCAGGAAACCCACAGGGCTGATAACTGAAACATGTTGCTGGCCCTGTTAACATGTAACCAGCCCTGTATAAAAAATAGGAAACTGAGATAAGGTGTTGAAATAATGTAATTAATGAATTACTTGTAGTTCAACCTCGACAACTGTCCGAGTTACGGTACGTATTTCCAATGTCAACATCCAGTTTCTCTTGTAAGGAACACATCCATGAAAGGTTACTCACTGGTTTCGAATGTTTCGCAAGTGCATGAGCTCCCCTGAAAAGCTTTACAAATTTATTCACTGCAGAAGCATTTAAAGTTTGCAATGCCTTTTCCGCTACACTGCCCCAAGCCTTGGTAGATTTTAGCTTTGTTTAATTCAATGCCATATTTGTGTCCTTCTGAGCGTTGGTGATTTACCAGTGTATCATTATTCAGATTTGTGCTTCCAGATACAAAACTACCGTTTGTGTACTTACGAAATTTAAATGGTATTTGTTGTGTTGCTAATGGGCCATACCCAGGCTCCAAACTTGACAGTACATTTTGCCCTTGTTATCGTCAACTTTAAGCCAGTCAAACTCTACTTTCCATGATGGAACAATTATCTGTTTCCATTTGGTTGCATCATACTCCTTATTTTTTTGTATGTTGTTGAATTCTAGCGGGAGTTTTTCCGGTTCCGGGAGTCTGAGGAATTTACGTAGCATTATGACCTAAACACTTACAGACCTGACTATGGGTGCCGCCATATTTGATCATTCGAAACCTCTTCAGGTGATCTTGTTGTCCGTTGTTAACGGCAGACAATGTTGCTCACAGAAATATATTCGAGTGAGTGATTGAGTATGGATTTACGCCGCTTTTAGCAATATTCCAGCAATATCACAGCGGGGGACACCACAAATTGGCTTCACACATTGTACCCATGTGGGGAATCGAACCCGGGTCTTCCGTGTGACAAGCGGACGCTTTAACCACAAGGCTACCCCACCGCCCCAGAAATATTTGAAGATGCATTATTGTTACATACTATTAGAAAAGAACAACATTGTTCATTGGCTGAAAGCATTCTCTAGACCAATCAGATTTAGTGTTAGATAAATGGGTAGGCTGATCTGTGGAAGTTATGGTTTGATTAATTATGAACTATACAGATATCATCTAGCTACCACAATTGTAAAATATTTTGGAAATATTTCCCATAGTCAATGACATGGTCAAATATATACCCTTGGGAAGTGTACTGGCCCACAGTGGTGGCTATAAAATACAGTTGTAAGCCCGCCATGTAACTAGCAAGCAGCAGGCCGCCGGGCAGACGCTATTTCATACACTGCTTTGGAACTCTCTTCCTTATGATCTGAGATGCTCTCCCTCACTTGACGTTTTTAAAGCTCATCTCAAGACCTATCTCTTTGGGAGATAATTCAAATTGACTTCAACTGTTGTATGCGCTTAGAGCATGCCCAAAAGGTGTGGAGATCAGCACTATACAAATGTCCTGATTATTATTATATAGTACCACTTTACGCGACAGCTCAAGGGCATGATAAAGTACTCGGTTCACTTACATAATCTGGTGTTTGGTATTCTGCGGTGAGGTAGAGGAAAAGCTGTTTCACGTTCCAGTTGAACAGAGGCTGGAGATGTCAGACAGTTAAGGACTGTTTTTGCTGGAAATTTCTTCCATGCAAGAAAGACAATGGTAAATTGTTGTTTTCATTGTAGGTGTGTATGCATGAAATATGATTCAATTAGTCAATTCATAAAATGCCTAGATAATACAGAATAGACAGCAAAATTAATGAAAGCTTCAAATGGGAATAAATTCATTAGGTTAGTGATACACAAGGTACTATACAGATGTCAACTAAGTGCAAATTGTGCAGTTTATTCAACAGTCAAAGTGATGGAAGTTTTTGTCAGACCGAATCCGAGCCGAGATGCAATTTTGTTTCGATTTACTGACACACCTTTTTTATATCTTATATACATTGATATATATCATACTTAGAAGCACTTTTAGAATACAGCACCACAACTTCTCGTGAGGACGATCCCTGCCGTAGGTCACATGTCATTAAGACAAGCAACCAGTTTGTGAGAACCCGTCGGACGCGAACCCGCGACCTTCAGATTGTTAGCCCGACAGCTAACCGACTGAGCTACGTCCACACTGTTGCACAATGTGCAAATTTATCGAGTCATTCCTGTGACGTCACGGAAATGAACGGAAAGAGTCGAATAGGTCACGGACAATTACGAAGGTTACGGGTAGACTTGGTGTCACGTGATTTTAATCTACGGACAATTGCCGAATGGATCCGATGCCATTTGGCACACTCGTCCCATTCCGTAATCTACAAGATAACATGTGGCGTGGAATGAGCCAATATGCCTCAAACTGAAAAGGGTTGTTGACGTGAGGCGTCAGACGTAGATTTGGCGGTGCATGCATGAATGACGCGCTTTTATATAAATCGGTGATTTTGTGACAGAAAAGTGATGTAGGGAACACTGTAAGGATATTGTGGATCACACTAAGGAACGAGGGAGACATGAGCATGTGTAGTGACGGCACGAGGGTGAGTTAGCCTTCGAATCATTACTGAACAAATGTTGCGTGTGAAAGAGGCTTGAGTGCAAATTCCAGGCCAATTTCCATTAGCCCAAAGTTTGTACATTAAACCATTCCATAGTGAACTTTCGACGACGTTTTTGGTTTCCCATTTTTGTGTGAAAAAAGTAATAAAATGCAAAAGGAAAAACACCAATTAATGGTACTCACGTATTACACCGGACCACAACTATATTGGATTAGGTCCCTAACCCTAACCCCTGACCCTAAAACTAACCCTAATCCCTTGAAATAACCCTAATAAGTAGAATGCATTGGCCGAACCGGCAGTATTAAAATGCAAAAGGAACAACAACAAATGGTACTCACGTATTACACCGGACATGTACCTGCTATATTGGATTAGGTCCCTAACCCTAATCCTAATCCCTAAACCCTAACCTCTTGAATTAATCCTAATAAATAGAATGCATTGACTGAACCGGCACAAACATGACTGACGTGTCCAGTGTAATACATTATTACCGCTTCGAAAAATAAGATACTAATAAAAAAAACTTTTCTATGTGATGGAGCAATTTACTGAATGACAAAAATATATATGTAAATTTAAAAAATATAAAATCCAATAATACACAAAACATAACACCTCAGAACCCCGTAATACAAATAAATATGAGCGTATAAGTGTAAAAAGAAAAATATTAAACTGGTGCTTGCAAAATATTGCGCATCCGCCGGTATATACCTACTGGAAACTCTAAACATCGTTGGGCTTATGCAATGACATAGCTTGTAGAGATGAAACACCAGTGAGCGGAGCTTATACACACTCGCTGAGCTGGACAACCGTATTGCCATGCAGGCGTCATAGGTCATTGTTTCAAGAGCGTGCTTTCGAACAAAATCACATTACATTACGTAAAAGGGTATTATGACGTATTTTTAAAGTTTGTGGTGCTGTATTCTAAAGGTAGGCCCATACTTATAAATATATCAGTGTCCCTTTAACACATTAGAGTAGCTTAGCTTCATGGTGAGTTTTATCTTTCACCCAGCAATAATTGAAATCTGAATAAGAACTAATGGTAAAGAGCACTACTGTAAGAATCACAGAGTAAAAAGGATATCAGCTTGCAAGTCGAAGGTAACAAATCCAAGATCACTCTTTTCCCTATCGGCTGAGTAGTCTGGGACGTTTTTGCTGAAACAGTGAAAGTAAAGAAAACGATTTTGACCTTAGTTCCATGATGAAAATTGGTACCGATCAATGATCTGATAAATGAAATTAAAAGAAAAATCTGAACTTCTGTAAATATATTAACATTGTTTTACCAATGCGGAAAAGACACGTCAGTTTGCTGATTGAACACAACATATGGTAACAGGTTGCACTTACACAGAAACTTTTCCTGCAGATACGTTCAGTGGTCGTTTATGGAGATTAAACGCTGTTGTGAGAAAGCAACAAAATGTCAAAGCTGCCATTACACTAAGGGTAAAGGCAAATATAGTGTTCAATCTTGACAGGAACGTGTTCATTTTCGCCGACAATACTTCCCAGACAAGTGTGAAACCGGAAACAGGTGCCTTTTGATGAGGAGTTCTTTCCCCTTGGGTTACTGTCCAAGCTCCTTGCCGCGACGTGATAACCACGTGATAATGGGTGTAGGTGAATTCGTAACCAAAACCGGTTCGTAGACGTCAAAATCCGGTGGATTCGTAGACGGATTGAGCGGTGAATTCGTAGACGTTATTAAAATGGGAATAGTTCACCCTCAATGATGAAGAAAATCGACGAAAGGTGTTTGCATTTTGTGAAATAAATAAAATATATCAGGTAAGTATGATCGGCGGTGAAAATATCCATAAATAATAAAAAACCCAAATATGCTTCACAGTGGTCCATGTCACAAATTCGAACCGGTTTTGGTTACGAATTCACCGCGTCTACGAACTGGTTTTGTCTACGAAATCACTGTCACCCGTGATAATCACGAGGTCCAGATCAAAATGGCGATGAATAACGCCCTGATTCCACTACTTTGTTGCATATCTTTCGCAGTGGCGTTGTATCCACGTTTGTTGTCACCGCGTAGTGGGAATGCAAAGGCTTCATTGCCCAACGATTATTCATATCAAACTTTCTATTTGGATCAACAAGTAAGCCTTTTACAGCACGTGTCTACCGTTTGGCTTTATTTACAATGCCGTCCGGTAATTCCGCGCACCTAAGCACATAGATCGCAACACGGCAACTAACATTGAATTACCGTACGCTTGTATTTCTGACACTACAAGAATTACCCCGGATCTTAAATGACTATATGTCTCAGGCTAGAATGCACTAACCGGGCGCAGCCCTCGTTGCTGGCTGTGGGGCAATTATCGCGGTATAGCGCTACAGCGCTGTCTCGCTATATCGCAGTAATTGCCCCGTCTCCCTTCACTTGCCATTCAACCATCTTTAGGGTTCCGATCCTTAGGGAGCTGACGCATCTTTAGAGTCAAACAACCCTTTACGATCCTTAGGTTTAGGGTATGACACCCTTTACGATCCTTAATTAGGGTTAGGGTTAGGGAACCTTTATGATCCTTAGGGTTTAGGGTTAGCACCCTTTCCGATCCTTAGGGAGCTGACGCATCATTGGAGTCAAACAACCCTTTACGATCCTTAGGGTTAGGGTATGGCACCCTTTACGATCCTTAGGGTTAGGGAACCTTTACGATCCTTAGGTTTTAGGGTTAGCACCCTTTCCGATTCTTACGGTTAGGGTTGGGAGTGGGGAAGGGTTTGGGAACCTTTCTGATTCCTTAATGTTAGGGACACTTTCCGATCCTTATTTAGGGTTAGACCTTACCTTAGGGCCGTGTAATCCTATTATATCCAATTGAAACACATTTCGATACTTGACAGTACAGTCCAAGAAATAATGGCGCGAAAAAAAATGAATGGGAAGGGCATGGCACAGTGGGGCGGAAGCGTGAAAAAGGTAAACAAACCATTGCACTTGCAATTCTAATTAACGAAGTCAGTAATCCAGCGAAGCGCATTCTAGCCCCAGCAGCACTAATTAATTTGAAAAAGTGCACCCGGTAAAGTGCAGTACTCCCAAAAGTGAGTGAGTGAGTATGGTTTTACGCCACTTTCAGCAAGATGCAATATCAAGGGGAACACCAGAAATGGGCTCCACATATTGTACCCATGTTGGGAATCGAACCCGGGCCTTCGGCTTGACGAGCGAACGTTTTAACCACAAGGCTACCTCACCACCCTGACATTAGAAAGGAATGTTTCCAGGTTTGTAACTAATATTATAATGAATCTGTAACTGCACTTTTGTATAAATAGATGTAAACTGTAACTGCAACTTCAGAATTCAGCACCACCACAACTTCTCGTGTGGACGATCTACCATAGGTCACATGTCCTTATGACAAGCAATCAAATTATGTGAGAATCCGTCAGATGCAAACCCTTGACCATCAAATTGTTAGTCTGACTGCCAACCGACTGAGTTACATCCACACTGTTACTTCATGTGTAAAGTTGTCTAGTCATGCCTGAGACTTTACTTTTATCATTATCTCTTGACATTGTGAGATAGACATGGAGTGTGGAAATGAGGCAGTTCTTATTCTCAGCGTTCGAAATACATGCCTGCCCGACCGTCCAGGACGGGTTATTTTCAACACAGACTGCCAGATTCTTAAATTCACCAGCCCGACGGTCAGGTTAAAATTTAGACATGTGTATATGACAATATTTTGTGCGGAGGTAAGTTTTGGTCAGGGCTGGCAAGTTTTACATCTAACCATCCCTGTGGTCTGGCTGAATGTTTTGGGAGGTTCATACCCTGTTATTCCCCATTAATAAAACAAATGAAAAGTAAAAAATAATGATGTCTGACATTTAATCAGCCCAAACAGAAACGATAGACTTAAAACCAAAGAAAACTCCACCACACTACTCATTCACCAAAAGTGTTAACATGGTTCAAACAATGACTGTATGCCCTGTAATGGATATTATTTCTCCTGATTGGAGTTCGCTGGACAACTTTGTCCTTCAGTGTTGAGCTGTTCAGCGCAGTCATCAGCTACCCAACTACAAAAAAATGAGATTTTCAAAACCATGTGCATACTGTACAGCGACAGGTGTAATCAATCCAAGCTAGAAAACAAGAACATGTGTTCCTTATGTTCAGGGTGTCTATGTGCATTCTACCCTGACCAAATTTAAGATATATATTATGGTGTTAGCAAAGATATAGAGTGAAGTGGAGAAGATTGATAGCCAATGTTTGTCTGGTTTGTGAATCTGAATATAGGAAAAACTGAAACAAGTTACGGAACAAAGTTGGACCAGAAATTGTTGAAAATGAGAACACTGTAAAATTGTAGATTAATGAAGTCATAGACCAAGAAATATGTTTGTCCAATAACATTGCTCATCTAAAGCTACAGAATTGATGGCATTGATGGGTACATCAAGGACTGGTCGGCTTGGAGTCAGTATAATGTGTCTGAGTGGGGTATTCATGCTTAACTGTGGCATGGTATCTCAGTGGGCTAGCACTATAAAACCAGCTTAAGTCTGGGCTAGTACAATCAGCCGCACATACACACACATGCACATCGTCATATGAGCGAAATATTCTCAAGTTCGACCTTAAACCCCATTTCACCTCACCTCACCTACAGAATTGCAAACTGTTAAACATTTTGCCATATGATCTCTATCCCTAGCACATGCTTTAATGTAACAAGCCATACTGCCTATCAAGGAAGTCAGAAAGTCATACTGTCAAAATACCTCAACATTTCTGCTGTCATATCACATATATTTTTGAGAGTTTTTTATATTGATGTTTTCCTTTAAGATTCCCCAAATACTTTCACTCAGCTCCAGGGCCGGACTGTATCCGGACCATTCCAGGGGTGTAACAGTTTCCTTGTTTTACCAGAAACGTGCGTCAATGCCCCAGTTATGAAAGTTATCTAAATCGAAATCTAAACAGATTTTATTTATACTGTAAGTTTTTATACAGGGTTACAAATTTACATTGGATTTGGTTACAAAATTTCACATTTTAAACCTGCTTTGGGTTACAAACCTGCTTGGGTTGAAAAATGCATATCAGTAATGACTAAGGAAGGCATTCTTTTTCCAGAGGTGTTTACTAGACATCCTTGTTCCTGTAATGTTATCATTATGTGAATCACATGGTATATTGTAGTAAAACTGGACCAGGGCAACACTGTCGGCAGTTTCTGGAGGGATCTGATGTTAGATGTAACCCCATGTGTGATGAACAAGTTACAGACAACTAGGTACAAGGTGGACACCATGGCTCATTAGGGTAGTGTTCTGTAACAACAATGTAAGTCTGCATCCTGTACACCATCAGTTATCATGTACAGTAGATACCATGGCCCTTCAGGGTAGTGTTCTGTAACAACACTGTAAGTCTGCATCCCGTACATCCTCACACCATCAGTTATCAGGTACAGTAGATACCATGGCTCATTAGGGTAGTGTTCTGTAACAACAATGTAAGTCTGCATCCTGTACACCATCAGTTATCATGTACAGTTGATACCGTACAGTAGACAACCATGTCATCATTACATCCTCCCACCAGGGTACAGTAGTGTTCTGTAACTGTAACAACAATGTAAGTCTGCATCCTGCATCCTGTACATGCCATCACATTATCATGTACAACAATGTAAGATGCCATGTACACCTCAGTTATCATGTACTCTGTAACAACTTCAGGGCCAGCACTGTAGATCCTCTGTGTACATCCTCACACCATCAGTTATGTACAGTAGATACCATGACTCATCAGGGTAGTGTTCTGTAACAACACTGTAAGTCTGCATCCCGTACATCCTCACACCATCAGTTATGTACAGTAGATACCATGGCTCATCAGGGTAGTGTTCTGTAACAACACTGTAAGTCTGCATCCCGTACATCCTCACACCATCAGTTATCATGTACAGTAGATACCATGACCCTTCAGGGTAGTGTTCTGTAACAACAATGTAAGTCTTCATCCTGTACACCATCAGTTATCATGTACAGTAGATACCATGACCCTTCAGGGTAGTGTTCTGTAACAACAATGTAAGTCTGCATCCCGTACATCCTCACACCATCAGTTATCATGTACAAAGACTTGAATTCATATACAATGAGACTATGATTTTGGTTTAAATGTGTGATATTTTAACATCTAGTGCAGCACCTCAATTACTGATTGCAAAATGTCAACAGAACAACAAAACATGACCTGAAGTGAAGGAAGAGATGATCCAATCTCTTCGCTTCCAACGGCCATCAGGTGGTTCACTATTGCAGTATACGGAATCTTGGTCATTCCTGATGTATCACAGTTAGTGAAGGGACATGAAACTGAAAAACAACGTCCATTAAAACACCTAGACTTTATGTGGGATGCCTCTTATGAATTCAGGTAGGTTACCGGCCTTTTGCGTGGTACCTAGTCTGGAATTCTGTGTGACCAAGCTTCTCTATGCACGGGACCACGTGCCTCATCTGAATTCTGTAATTATATATGTGTGTGGGATGTCTCACCTGAATTCTGTAATTATATATGTGTGTGGGATGTCTCACCTGAATTCTGTAATTATATATGTGTGTGGGATGTCTCACCTGAATTCTGTAATTATATATGTGTGTGGGATGTCTCACCTGAATTCTGTAATTATATATGTGTGTGGGATGTCTCACCTGAATTGTGTAATCATTTATGTGTGTGGGATGTCTCACCTTAAAATTCTGCTTTAATTTCAGGGTTTTGTGTGGGATATCGCACCTGAATTCCGAGCTCTCCTTGTTTTTGCTGAACACAGATACTATGGGTCATCCATACCCTATGGTTCACAGGCCTTTAAGGTAAGAAACAGGCATACCAATAACCCCCATCTCCCTATTGTCTTGATGTTGTTTACTGACACAGTGTTGATGTTTGCATAAGTCAACTACATCACCAATATGTCCTGTACCTGTCCCACTTATATATCCACTGTCCCACCTGTATATCCACTGTCCCACCTGTATATCAACTGCCCCACATGTATATCCACTGTCTCACCTGTATATAGAGAATCTAACCCGAGTGTCTTTTGATATCAAATATATCACCACGAGTTGATAAAGTAACAAATATCCGAGGCTACATTTATCATCAAAAATCACTCTTCGTTAGTTTTCAATGAAAAATGTACATCTCTGAACACAGTACTGCCATTAGACTTGCAGTGCAGCGATGTCATAGCATTGTGATGTCATCAAGTTCATGACATCATAGCATTGTTAAGGAGATATCATCTGATCTCACACAAGCAATATCTTCTGTGGAACACAGTTTTGGATAATAAATCAACTGTCTCACCTGTATATCAACTGTCCCGCCTGCATATCAACTGTCCCACCTGTATATCATCTGCCCCACCTGTATATCCACTGTCCCACCTGTATATCAACTGACCCACATGTATATCCACTGTCTCACCTGTATCTCAACTGTCCCACCTGTATATCATCTGCCCCACCTGTATATCAACTACCCCACATGTATACCCACTGTCTCACTGTCCAACCTGTATATCAACCGTCCCATCTGTATATCAACTGTCCCACCTGTATATCAACTGTCCCACCTGTATATCAACTGTCCCACTGTCCTGTCTCAACAATGTCCCACCACTGTCCAATGTCCCACCTGTATATCCACTGTCCCACCTGTATATCCACTGTCACACTCTTGTCCATCCACTGTCCCACCTGTATCATCCTGTCCCACTGTGTCCCACCTGTATATCCTGTCCCCTGTCCACCCACTTCTATACATCCACTGTCCTAAGCATACATCCACCTAGCATATATCCCACCTGTATATCCCCCACCTCTATCTGTCCACTGTCCTGTCTCACTATATCCACTGTCCCTCTATATATCCACTGTCCCACCTCTATACATCCACTGTCCCACCTACATATGTTCCCACCTTTCTATACATCCACTGTCCCACCTCTATACATCCACTGTCCCACCTCTATACATACATCCACTGTCCCACCTCTATCCATCCACTGTCCCACCTCTATACATCCACTGTCTCCACCTCATCCACTGTCCCACCTGTCCATCCACTGTCCCACCTCTATCCACTGTCCACCATCCACTGTCTTCAACCTCTATACATCCACTGTCCCACCTCTATACATCCACTGTCCCACTCTATACATCCACTGTCCCACCTCTATACATCCACTGTCCCACCTCTATACATCCACTGTCCCACCTCTCTATACATCCACTGTCCCACCTATCCACTGTCCATCTATACATCCACTGTCCCACCTCTATACATCCACTGTCCCACCTCCACTGTCCCACCTCCATCCACTGTCCCACCTCTATACATCCACTGTCCCCACCTCTATACATCCACTGTCCCACCTCTATACATCCATCCACTGTCTGTCCCACCTCTATACATCCACTGTCCACCATGTATATCCACTGTCCCACCTCTATACATCCACTGTCCCACCTCTATACATCCACTGTACATCCACTGTCTCTATACATCCACCTCTATACATCCACTGTCCCACCTCTATACATCCACTGTCCACTCTATACATCCATCCACTGTCCCACCTCTATACATCCACTGTCCCACCTCTATACATCCACTGTCTCACCTCTATACATCCACTGTCCCACCTCTATACATCCACTGTCCCCCACCTCTATACACTCCATCATCCACTGTCCCACCTCCACTCTATATACATCCACTGTCCCACCTCTATACATCCACTGTCTCACCTCTATACATCCACTGTCCCACCTCTATACATCCACTGTCCCACCTCTATACATCCACTGTCCCACCTCTATACATCCACTGTCCCACCTCTATACATCCACTGTCCCACCTCTATACATCCACTGTCCCACCTCTATACATCCACTGTCCCACCTCTATACATCCACTGTCTCCACCTCTATACATCCACTGTCCCACCTCTATACATCCACTGTCCCACCTCTATACATCCACTGTCCCACCTCTATACATCCACTGTCCCACCTCTATACATCCACTGTCTCCACCTGTACCTACATCCACTGTCTCCACCTCTATGTCCATCCACTGTCCCACCTGTATATCCACTGTCTCACCTCACATCTCTATACATCCACTGTCCCACCTCTATACATCCACTGTCCACCTCTATACATCCACTGTCCACCTCTATACATCCACTGTCCCACCTCTATACATCCACTGTCTCACCTCTATACATCCACTGTCCCACCTCTATACATCCACTGTCCCACCTCTATACATCCACTGTCCCACCTCTATACATCCACTGTCCCACCTCTATACATCCACTGTCTCACCTCTATACATCCACTGTCTCACCTCTATACATCCACTGTCCCACCTCTATACATCCACTGTCCCACCTCTATACATCCACTGTCCCACCTGTATATCCACTGTCTCACCTCTATACATCCACTGTCTCACCTCTATACATCCACTGTCCCACCTGTATATCAACTGTCCCATCTGTATATCAACTGTCCCACCTGTATATCAACTGTCCCACCTGTATATCCACTGTCCCACCTCTATAGATCAACTGTCCCACCTGTTTATCCACTGTCCCACCTGTATATCAACTGTCCAACCTCTATATATCAACTGCCCCACCTGTTTATCCACTGTCCCACCTGTATATCCACTGTCCCACCTGTATATCCACTGTCCCATCTGTATATCCACTGTCCCATCTGTATATCAACTGTCCAACCTCTATATATCAACTGTCCCACCTGTTTATCCACTGTCCCACCTGTATATCCACTGTCCCACCTCTATATATCAACTGTCCCAACTGTATATCCACTGTCCCACCTGTATATCAACTGTCCCACCTGTATATCCACTGTCCCACCTGTATATCCACTGTCCCACCTCTATATATCCACTGTCCCACCTGTTTATCCACTGTCCCACCTGTATATCCACTTTCCCATCTGTATATCAACTGTCCCACCTCTATATATCAACTGTCCCACCTGTTTATCCACTGTCCCACCTGTATATCCCTTTCCAGCTTTTGAAGAGGGACATCATAGTTTGTGTTGGTCTTTTGCCTACAACTGGGTTAGGCAATCATCTGTGCTTCCACAAGGTTTCCAGATGTTGTTCCATAACAAAAAAGTATGGCTTAAGTCATTATTGCTTTGGTGAAGTTGTTCTTCTACCTTTTGTCTCAGCCATGTAGACCAATGTCTCCACCAATACCTTTTTCTCTCAGCTATACAGACCAATGTCTCCACCAATACCTTTTGTCTCAGCCATGTAGACCAATGTCTCCACCAATACCTTTTGTCTCAGCCATGTAGACCAATGTCTCCACCAATACCTTTTGTCTTAGCCATGTAGACCAGTGTCTCCACCAATACCTTTTGTCTCAGCCATGTAGACCAATGTCTCCACCAATACCTTTTGTCTCAGCCATGTAGACCAATGTCTCCACCAATACCTTTTGTCTCAGCCATGTAGACCAATGTCTCCACCAATACCTTTTGTCTCAGCCATGTAGACCAATGTCTCCACCAATACCTTTTGTCTCAGCCATGTAGACCAATGTCTCCACCAATACCTTTTGTCTCAGCCATGTAGACCAATGTCTCCACCAATACCTTTTGTCTCAGCTATGTAGACCAGTGTCTCCACCAATACCTTTTCTGTCAGCTATGTGGACCTGTATGTCTATATCCTCCTCAGGACCCCAGCAAGTTGAACTACCTAACCTCGGAGCAGGCTCTGGCTGACTTTGCTGTGTTAATCCGATACCTCAAGTCCTCCATTCCTGGGACAATGGATAGTCAAGTCGTTGCTTTTGGAGGCTCGTATGGAGGAATGTTGTCAGCATGGATGAGGATGAAGTACCCTGGCACAGTCATAGGGTAATAGTCTCAACTCAACCTTGATTAGCTGTCTTAGCACAGTTGTAGAGAAAGGATCACTATGGCAACATGACCAAACCTTGATTAGCTAACTTAGCACAGTTGTAGGGAAAGGATCACTATGGCAACATGACCAAACCTTGAATAGCTAACTTAGCACAGTTGTAGGGAAAGGATCACTTTGGCAACATGACCAAACCTTGATTAGCTAACTTAGCACAGTTGTAGGGAAAGGATCACTACGGCAACATGACCAAACCTTGATTGGCTCACTCAGCACAGTTGTAGGGTAAGGATCACTATGGCAACATGACCAAACCTTGATTGGCTCATTCAGCACAGTTGTAGGGTAATGATCACTATGGCAACATGACCAAACCTTGATTGGCTCACTCAGCACAGTTGTAGGGTAATGATCACTATGGCAACATGATCAAACCTTCACTGGCTGACTCAGCACAGTTGTAGGGTAAAGATCACTATGGCAACAGGATCAAACCTTGATTGGCTCACACAGCACAGCTGTAGGGTAAAGATCTCCATGGTAACATGACAAAACCTTGATTAGATGATTCAGCACAGCTGTAGGGTAAAGATCTCCATGGTAACATGACAAAACCTTGATTAGATGATTCAGCACAGCTGTAGGGTAAAGATCTCCATGGTAACATGACAAAACCTTGATTAGATGATTCAGCACAGCTGTAGGGTAAAGATCTCCATGGCAATAGGACCCAACTTTGAGATTGACTGACATAGTTTGTAAGGTAAAGATCTCCATGGCAACTTGAACTTGACAAAACCTTGATTGGCTGACTCGCACAGCTGTAGGGCCGGAATCAAAATGTCAGACAAAATTCTCATATTGGTTGACAGAACTGTTGTAAGGATCTTTGTTGAAACAGACGGATGATTCTGGTATGTATAGAATATGATTTGTAAAGGTGACATATGACACATATGGTTTCCTTATCTGTAATGTGATTGGTAAAATGTTGTTACAGTACTCAAAATAGTGTTTTATTTATGTACCGTGGCACAGTAAATATTGAAATGAGACAGTTGAAATATTTTCACAGTGCCCTAGCAGCCTGCTGAAACATTACATAATTGATACCCACCAAGATTAATTAAATGGAAAATGAAATAAATTTGACCAATTCAAATAATTCAAAACCTACTTTTGCAATCCATCAAACTATTTATCTGTCGCACTCTCATTCTCACAGCTTAACATGGGAACTGCTGTTTTATGTGCCAGTGGGCATGACAGTAAATCCTGTTTTGGAAGATACCATAAATTCCGGGTTAGTTTTTGGGACCACGAAAAATGAAGCTTAAGCATTCTGGCAGTCATGATAAGAAAGAAGGTGCCCTTCAAAACAATTGCCTTTCTATCCCTGTGTTGGATGTAATGTAATCTGTCCTCAGTGCACTAGCAGCCTCGGCTCCTATCTGGGATTTCACTGGTCTGACTCCATGCTCGGCCTTGATGAACACAACCACCCAGTCCTTCTTGAGGGCTTCACCAGAGTGTGTGGAGAACATCCGTCAGTCCTGGTCAACCATCGATAAAATAGCTGCCACAGGTATGTGTAGCTGTGTCAGAGGAAGCACCCAGGAGCAGCTCTCCCTCCCTCCCTCCATCACTCACTCACTCACTCATTCACTCACCCAAACTCACTCACTCAAACTCACTCACTCACTCATGGTCTTTACTTCAAGGATATTGTGTACCCACATGTATAATGCATTGTATCTTGTGTTGCCAGTGGATGGCAGGAGCTTCATCTACAACACATTTCACCTGTGCTCCCCTCTGAAGACGACGGCAGATGTTGCTAACTTCAAGGCATGGCTGAGTAATGCTTGGTTTGACCTGGCAATGGTGAACTACCCATACCCTGCCAACTTCCTGGAACCACTACCTGCTTGGCCAGTAAAGGTAACATATTCCATGTCATCTGTGAAGGTTACAAAATCCATGTTACAGGTTGTTTATCATATTACAGGCTGTGTGCCCATGTTACAGGCTGTGTGCCCATGTTACAGGCTGTGTGCCCATGGTACAGTCTTGTGTACCAATGTAACAGGCTGTATGTGCCCATGTTACAGGTGTGTGCCCATGTTTCAGACTGTGTGTGCACATATTACAGACTTTCCATCCATGTTACAGGCTGTGTGTGTCATGTTACATACTTTACACCCATGTTACAGGCTGTGTGTGCCCATGTTACAGGCTGTGTGTGCCCATGTTACAGGTTGTATGTCCCCATGTTACAGGCTGTGTGCCAGATTACAGGCTGTGTGTGCCCATGTTACAGGCAGTGTTCCCATGTTACAGGCTGTATGTGAGCCCATGTTACAGGCTGTGTGTGCCAAAGTTACAGGCTGTGTGTGTGCCCATGTTACAGGCTGTGCTCCGATATTACAGGCTGTATGTGTGCCCATGATACAGGCTGTGTATGCCCATGTTACAGGCTGTGTGTGCCCATGTTACAGGTTGTATGTCCCCATGTTTTTTTCAAGGCTGTGTGCCAGGGTACAGGCTGTGTGTGCCAAAGTTACAGGCTGTGTGTGTGCCCATGTTACAGGTAGTGTTCCCATGTTACAGGCTGTATGTGTGCCCATGTTACAGGCTGTGCCCGTGTTACAGGATGTGTGCCATGTTACAGGCTGTGTGTGCCAAAAGTACAGGCTGTGTGTGTGCCCATGTTACAGGCTGTGCTCCGATATTACAGGCTGTATGTGTGCCCATGTTACAGGCTGTGTATGCCCATGTTACAGGCTGTGTGTGCCCATGTTACAGGCTGTGTGTTCCCATGTTACTGGCTGTCTGTGCCCATGTTACTGGCTGTGTGTGCCCATGTTACTGGCTGTGTGTGCCCACATTACAGGCTCTGTGTGCCCACATTACAGGCTTCTGTGCCCATGTTACAGGCTGTGTGTCCCCATGTTATAGGCTGTGTGCCCATGTTACAGGCTGTTTGCGCATGTTACAGGCTGTGTGTGCCCATGTTACAAGCTGTGTGTGCCCATGTTACCGGCTGTGTGTGCCCATGTTGCAAGCTGTGTGTACCCATGTTACAGGATGTGTGTGCCCATGTTACTGGCTGTGTGTGCCCACATTACAGACTTTGTGCCCATGTTACAGCCTGTGCCCATGTTGCAGACTGTACCCATGTTACAGGCTGTGTGCCCATGTTACACTCTTGTGTGCCCATGTAACAGGCTGTATGTGCCCATGTTACAGGCTGTGTGCCCATGTTACAGATGTCCGCCCATGTTGCACTTTCGACCCATGTAACAGGTTGTGTGTCATACTACATACTTTGTGCCCATGTTACAGGCTGTGTTTGTGCCCATGTTACAGGCTGTATGTGCCCATGTTACATGCTGTGTGTGCCCATGTTACAGTCTTTGTGCCATGTTACAGACTGTGTGCCCATGTTACATATTTCCGCCCATGTTGCACTTTCGACCCATGTTACAGGTTGTGTGTCATACTACATACTTTGTGCCCATGTTACAGGCTGTGTGTGTGCCCATGTTACAGGCTGTGTGTGTGCCCATGTTACAGGCTGTGTGTGCCCATGTTACAGTCTCTGTGCCATGTTACAGACTGTGTGCACATGTTACAGACGTTCCGCCCATGTTGCACTTTCGACCCATGTTACAGGTTGTGTGTCATACTACATACTTTGTGCCCATATTACAGGTTGTGTGTGTGCCCATGTGACAGATTGTGTGTCCATGTTACAGGCTCTGTGTGCCCATATTACAGGCGGTGTGTGTGCCCATGTGACAGATTGTGTGTCCATGTTACAGGCTGTGTGTGCCCATGTTACAGGCTGTGTGTTTGCCCATGTTACAGGCTGTGTGTGCCCATGTTACAGGCTCTGTGTGCCCATATTACAGGCTGTGTGTGCCCATGTTACAGGCTGTGTGTGTGCCCATGTTAAAGGCTGTGTGTGTGCCCATGTTACAGGCTGTGTGTGTGCCCATGTTACAGGCTGTGTGTGTGCCCATGTTATGGGCTGTGTGTGTGCCCATGTTACGGGCTGTGTGTGTGTCCATGTTTCAGGCTGTGTGTGCCCATGTTACAGGCTGTGTGTGTGCCCATGTTATGGACTATGTGTGTGCCCATGTTATGGGCTGTGTGTGTGCCCATGTTATGGACTGTGTGTGTGCCCATGTTACAGGCTGTGTGTGTGCCCATGTTAAAGGCTGTGTGTGTGTCCATGTTTCAGGCTGTGTGTGCCCATGTTACAGGCTGTGTGTGTGCCCATGTTATGGACTATGTGTGTGCCCATGTTACGGGCTGTGTGTGTGCCCATGTTATGGACTGTGTGTGTGCCCATGTTACAGGCTGTGTGTGTGCCCATGTTAAAGGCTGTGTGTGTGCCCATGTTACAGGCTGTGTGTGTGCCCATGTTATGGGCTGTGTGTGTGCCAATGTTATGGGCTGTGTGTGTGCCCATGTTACAGGCTGTGTGTGTACCCATGTTACAGGCTGTGTGTGTGCCCATGTTACAGGCTGTGTGTGTGCCCATGTTACAGGCTGTGTGTGCCCATGTTACCGGCTTTTGTGCCCATATTACAGGCTGTGTGTGCCCATGTTAGAGGCTCTATGTGCCCATGTTACAGGCTCTATGTGCCCATGTTACAGGCTGTGTGTGCCCATGTTACAGGATCTGTGTGCCCATATTACAGGCTGTGTGTGCCCATGTTGCAGGCTGTGTGTGCCCCACTGGGAAGTCCCCTTCAGGACAAGCTGCTGATGCAGGGGCTGTATAAGGCTGTGAACATATACTTCAACTACACCGGCCAGGCGAAATGCCTCAACACTTCCCAGGATGCCACTGCCAGTCTTGGGGATGCCGGGTGGGGCTATCAGGTAATTATGACCATGTCACATGAGGCTCTCAGGTAAATGGTGCAGTGTCAGGTGAGGCCTTCAGATAGAAACGTATGTGTAAGGTTGCCTTTGTTATGAAATGGTGAGAATGTGTACACAGATGTGCTAAGATTGTGTGAATGTGTTTTCAGATGTGCTGTGGTGGTGAGAATGTGTATACAGATGAACTATGGTGCTGAGAATGTGTACACAGATGTGCTAAGATTGTGAAAACGTGTACACAGATGTGCTAAGATCGTGAGAATGTGTATACAGATGTGCTAATATTGTGTGAATATGTATACAGATCCGCTAAGATGGTAAGGATGTGTATACAGATGTGCTAAGATTGTGTGAATGTGTATGCAGATTTGCTAAGATGGTGTGAATGTGTACACAGATTTGCTAAGATGGTGTGAATGTGTACACAGATTTGCTAAGATGGTGTGAATGTGTACACAGATTTGCTAAGATGGTGTGAATGTGTACACAGATTTGCTAAGATGGTGTGAATGTGTACACACGTGATCCAAGTGTGTACAGATGCAGTGAGAGTGTGCAGAAGGTTTGACCAGTGTTTGTTTTGATCCAGGCGTGTACAGAGATGGTGATGCCAAGCTGTGTTGACAGTTCATCAATGTTTGAGCCGACCACATGGAATTTCACCAGCTACAGCGACAGCTGCTACTCCTCCTACAAGATGAGACCACGTCAGGACTGGGTGTCAACACAATTTGGTGGCAAGAACATTGCAGACTCAAGCAACATCATTTTCAGGTTTGTCTATGTCTATGTTTTAGGCTTGTTAAAGTAAACGATGATGAAGCAGTGTCAAATCTCATGATATATAGAGGTGTTTCATTCTGTTTACCACAACCTCTTTGGATTCACAGCAAACAGGCCTTCAGTGCCCAGATCAGCTGTAGATGGTAGTCAGCGTGATGGGCTGTAGATGGTAGTCAGCATGATGGGCTGTAGATGGTAGTCAGCATGATGGGCTGTGGATGGTAGTTGGGCTGTAGATGGTAGTAGGGCTGTAGATGGTAGTCAGCATGATGGGCTGTAGATGGTAGTCAGCATGATGGGCTGTAGATGGTAGTCAGCATGATGGGCTGTAGATGGTAGTCAGCATGATGGGCTGTGGATGGTAGTTGGGCTGTAGAAGGTAGTCAGCATGATGGGCTGTAGATGGTAGTCAGCATGATCGGCTGTAGATGGTAGTCAGCATGATGGGCTGTAGATGGTAGTCAGCATGATCGGCTGTAGATGGTAGTCAGCATGATGGGCTGTGGATGGTAGTTGGGCTGTAGATGGTAGTCAGCATGATGGGCTGTAGATGGTAGTCAGCATGATGGGCTGTGGATGGTAGTTGGGCTGTAGAAGGTAGTCAGCATGATGGGCTGTAGATGGTAGTCAGCATGATGGGCTGTAGATGGTAGTCAGCATGATGGACTGTAGATGGTAGTCAGCATGATGGGATGTAGATGGTAGTCAGCATGATGGGCTGTGGATGCTAGTTGGGCTGTAGATGGTAGTCAGCATGATAGGCTGTAGATGGTAGTCAGCATGATGGGCTGTAGATGGTAGTCAGCATGATGGGCTGTAGATGGTAGTCAGCATGATGGGCTGTAGATGGTAGTCAGCATGATGGGCTGTAGATGGTAGTTGGGCTGTAGAAGGTAGTCAGCATGATGGGCTGTAGATGGTAGTCAGCATGATGGGCTGTAGATGGTAGTCAGCATGATGGGCTGTAGATGGTAGTCAGCATGATGGGCTGTAGAAGGTAGTCGGCATGATGGGCTGTGGATGGTAGTTGGGCTGTAGAAGGTAGTCAGCATGATGGGCTGTAGAAGGTAGTCAGCATGATGGGCTGTAGATGGTAGTCAGCATGATGGGCTGTAGATGGTAGTTGGGCTGTAGATGGTAGTCAGCATGATCTGCTGTAGAAGGTAGTCAGCATGATGGGCTGTAGAAGGTAGTCGGCATGATCGGCTGTGGATGGTAGTTGGGCTGTAGATGGTAGTTGGGCTGTAGATGGTAGTCAGCATGATGGGCTGTAGATGGTAGTCAGCATGATGGGCTGTAGATGGTAGTCAGCATGATGGGCTGTAGAAGGTAGTCAGCATGATGGGCTGTAGATGGTAGTCAGCATGATGTTGGAGGGCTGTAGATGGTAGTCAGCATGATGGGCTGTAGAAGGTAGTCAGCATGATGGGCTGTAGATGGTAGTCAGCATGATGGGCTGTAGAAGGTAGTCAGCATGATGGGCTGTAGATGGTAGTCAGCATGATGGGCTGTAGATGGTAGTCAGCATGATGGGCTGTAGAAGGTAGTCAGCATGATGGGCTGTAGATGGTAGTCAGCATGATGGGCTGTGGAAGGTAGTCAGCATGATGGGCTGTGGATGCTAGTTGGGCTGTAGAAGGTAGTCAGCACGATGGGCTGTAGATGGTAGTCAGCATGATGGGCTGTAGAAGGTAGTCAGCATGATGGGCTGTAGATGGTAGTCAGCATGATGGGCTGTAGATGGTAGTCAGCATTATGGGCTGTAGAAGGTAGTCAGCATGATCTGCTGTAGAAGGTAGTCAGCATGATGGGCTGTAGAAGGTAGTCAGCATGATGGGCTGTAGAAGGTAGTCAGCATGATGGGCTGTGGATGGTAGTCAGCATGATGGGCTGTAGATGGTAGTCAGCATGATGGGCTGTAGAAGGTAGTCAGCATGATGGGCTGTAGATGGTAGTCAGCATGATGGGCTGTAGATGGTAGTCAGCATGATGGGATGTAGATGGTAGTCAGCATGATGGGCTGTGGATGATAGTTTGGCTGTAGATGGTAGTCAGCATAATGGGCTGTAGATCCACTGTAGTTATCCACTACCTGCTCCACTGTCCTCCCCTCAGCTATTCTCCACTTTCCTCCCCTCAGCTATCTACTACCTTCTCTACTGTCCTCCCCTCAGTTATCCACTACCTTCTCCACTGTCCTCCCCTTAGCTATCCACTACCTTCTCCACCGTCCTCACCTCAGTTATCCTGCACCTTCTCCACTGTCCTCCCCTCAGTTATCCACTACCCGCTCCCCTGTCCTCCCCTCAGTTATCCACTACCTTCTCCACTGTCCTCCCCTCAGTTAACCCACACTCCACTGTCCTCCCCTCAGCTATCTACTACCTTCTCTACTGTCCTCCCCTCAGTTATCCACTACCTTCTCTACTGTCCTCCCCTCAGCTATCTACTACCATCTCCATTGTCCTTCCCTCAGCTATCCTCCCCTGTTATCCTGCACCTTCTCCACTGCCCACCTCTCGGTTATCCTCCACTGCCCACCCCTTAGTTATCCACTACCATCTCCACTGTCCTTCCCTCAGCTATCTTCCACCTTCTCCACTGTCCTCTCCTCAGTTATCCACTACCTTCTCTACTGTCCTCCCCTCAGTTATCCACTATCTGCTCCACTGTCCTCCCCTCAGCTATCCACTACCTGCTCCACTGCCCACCTCTCAGTTATCCACTACCTTCTCCACTGCCCACCCCTCAGCTATGCAATACCTTCTCCACTGTCCTTCCCTCAGCTTTCCACTACCTTCTCGACTGTCCTTCCCTCAGCTATCCACTACCTGCTCCACTGTCCTTCCCTCAGCTATCCACTACCTTCTCCACTGTTCTTCCCTCAGTTATCCAATACCTTCTCCACTGTCCTCCCCTTAGCTATCCACTACCTCTCCACTGTCCTCCCCTCAGTTATCCTGCACCTTCTCCACTGTCCTCCCCTCAGTTATCCACTACTCCACTGTCCTCCCCTCAGTTATCCACTACTCCACTGTCCTCCCCTCAGCTATCTACTACCTTCTCTACTGTCCTACCCTCAGTTATCCACTACCTTCTCTACTGTCCTCCCCTCAGCTATCTACTACCATCTCCATTGTCCTTCCCTCAGCTATCCTCCACCTTCTCCACTGTCCTCCCCTCAGTTATCCACTACCTTCTCTACTGTCCTCCCCTCAGCTATCTACTACCATCTCCATTGTCCTTCCCTCAGCTATCCTCCACCTTCTCCACTGTCCTCCCCTCAGTTATCCACTACCTTCTCTACTGTCCTCCCCTTAGCTATCCAATACCTTCTCCACTGTCCTCCCCTCAGTTATCCACAACCATCTCCACTGTCCTCCCCTCATTTGACCTGAACCTGTTATGTTGTGTTTTCAGCAACGGTCTTTTGGACCCGTGGTCTTCTGGTGGTGTTCTCAACTCTGTGTCGGACACCCTGATAGCCATCCAGATCCCAGATGGAGCACACCATCTTGATCTGCGTGCTGCCAACAAGGAAGACACAGCTTACGTGAAGGCAGCTCGCACACAGGAGAAGAACATCATCCGATTCTGGATCAGCAGTCTCTAGTAGCCTGAGAGTTAACGTAGAGTGTTTTGTCGAAATTTTGCCCATATACTTATATTTTTTTACAAAGATGAAAACAACATTCACGTACTTGGGTACTCAGCAGTCCAGTGTGTTCTTTAACCCTCTGACTGTGTGCCCCACAGAACAGAAATACCTGCTGCTGGGTCCTCTGATATACAGGCAGCACAACAAGATAGACAGCCTCCTGAATGGGTTGCTTGTTATATTGTCTCTCCACTTACATTCCCCAGTCTGTGATATGGTCACTTACCTTCCTGCTCCACAGTCACACATTGCTGGTACATCAGAACACACATTACTGGTACATCAGAACCCACATTGCTGGTACATCAGAACACACATGGATGGTACATCAGAACCCACAGTCACACATTGCTGGTACATCAGAACACACATGGATGGTACATCAGAACCCACAGTCACACATTGCTGGTACATCAGAACACACATGGATGGTACATCAGAACACACAGTCACACATTGCTGGTACATCAAAACCCACAGTCACACATTGCTGGTACATCAGAACCCACAGTCACACATTGCTGGTACATCAGAACACACATTGCTGGTACATCAGAACCCACAGTCACACATTGCTGGTACATCAGAACACACATTGCTGGTACATCAGAACACACATGACTGGTACATCAGAACCCACAGTCACACATTGCTGGTACATCAGAACACACATTGCTGGTACATCAGAACCCACAGTCACACATTGCTGGTACATCAGAACCCACAGTCACACATTGCTGGTACATCAGAACACACATTACTGGTACATCAGAACACACATGCATGGTACATCAGAACACACATTACTGGTACATCAGAACACACATTGCTGGTACATCAGGACACACATGACTGGTACATCAGAACACACACCTGGTACATCACCTGGGTCCTCTGATATACAGGCAGCACAACAAGATAGACAGCCTCCTGAATGGGTTGCTTGTTATATTGTCTCTCCACTTACATTCCAAAGTCCGTGATATGGTCACTTACCTTCCTGCTCCACAGCCACACATTGCTGGTACATCAGAACACACATTACTGGTACATCAGAACCCACATTGCTGGTACATCAGAACCCACAGTCACACGTTGCTGGTACATCAGAACACAAATGGATGGTACATCAGAACACACATGGCTGGTAGGTCAGGACACACATGGCTGGTACATCAGAACACACATGCATGGTACATCAGAACACACATGCATGGTACATCAGAACACACATGGCTGGTACATCAGAACACACATGGATGGTACATCAGAACCCACAGTCACACATTGTTGGTACATCAGAACACACATGACTGGTACATCAGAACACACATGACTGGTACATCAGAACACACATGGATGGTACATCAGAACACACATTGCTGGTACATCAGAACACACAAACACATGTTACTTTTACAACAGAACACACATGGATGGTACATCATAACAAACATTGCTGGTACATCAGAACAGACATGGATGGTACATCAGAACACACATGGCTGGTACATCAGAATAGACATGGATGGTACATCAGAACAGACATGGATGGTACATCAGAACATACATGGATGGTACATCAGAATAGACATGGATGGTACATCAGAACAGACATGGATGGTACATCAGAACATACATGGATGGTACATCAGAATAGACATGGATGGTACATCAGAACAGACATGGATGGTACATCAGAACAGACATGGATGGTACATCAGAATAGACATGGATGGTACATCAGAACACACATGGATGGTACATCAGAACACACATGGATGGTACATCAGAACAGACATGGCTGGGACATCAGAACAGACATGGCTGGTACATCAGAACAGACATGGCTGGTACATCAGAACACACATGGATGGTACATCAGAACACACATGGATGGTACATCAGAACACACATGGCTGGTACATCAGAATAGACATGGATGGTACATCAGAACACACATGGATGGTACATCAGAACACACATGGCTGGTACATCAGAACACACATTACTGGTACATCAGAACACACATGGATGGTACATCAGAACAGACATGGCTGGGACATCAGAACAGACATGGCTGGTACATCAGAACAGACATGGCTGGTACATCAGAACACACATGGATGGTACATCAGAACACACATGGATGGTACATCAGAACACACATGGCTGGTACATCAGAATAGACATGGATGGTACATCAGAACACACATGGATGGTACATCAGAACACACATGGCTGGTACATCAGAACACACATTACTGGTACATCAGAACACACATTGCTGGTACATCAGAACACACATTACTGGTACATCAGAACCCACATTGCTGGTACATCAGAACCCACAGTCACACGTTGCTGGTACATCAGAACACAAATGGATGGTACATCAGAACACACATGGCTGGTAGGTCAGGACACACATGGCTGGTACATCAGAACACACATGCATGGTACATCAGAACACACATGCATGGTACATCAGAACACACATGGCTGGTACATCAGAACACACATGGATGGTACATCAGAACCCACAGTCACACATTGTTGGTACATCAGAACACACATGACTGGTACATCAGAACACACATGACTGGTACATCAGAACACACATGGATGGTACATCAGAACACACATTGCTGGTACATCAGAACACACAAACACATGTTACTTTTACAACAGAACACACATGGATGGTACATCATAACAAACATTGCTGGTACATCAGAACAGACATGGATGGTACATCAGAACACACATGGCTGGTACATCAGAATAGACATGGATGGTACATCAGAACAGACATGGATGGTACATCAGAACATACATGGATGGTACATCAGAATAGACATGGATGGTACATCAGAACAGACATGGATGGTACATCAGAACATACATGGATGGTACATCAGAATAGACATGGATGGTACATCAGAACAGACATGGATGGTACATCAGAACAGACATGGATGGTACATCAGAATAGACATGGATGGTACATCAGAACACACATGGATGGTACATCAGAACACACATGGATGGTACATCAGAACAGACATGGCTGGGACATCAGAACAGACATGGCTGGTACATCAGAACAGACATGGCTGGTACATCAGAACACACATGGATGGTACATCAGAACACACATGGATGGTACATCAGAACACACATGGCTGGTACATCAGAATAGACATGGATGGTACATCAGAACACACATGGATGGTACATCAGAACACACATGGCTGGTACATCAGAACACACATTACTGGTACATCAGAACACACATTGCTGGTACATCAGGACACACATGACTGGTACATCAGAACACACACCTGGTACATCACCTGGGTCCTCTGATATACAGGCAGCACAACAAGATAGACAGCCTCCTGAATGGGTTGCTTGTTATATTGTCTCTCCACTTACATTCCAAAGTCCGTGATATGGTCACTTACCTTCCTGCTCCACAGCCACACATTGCTGGTACATCAGAACACACATTACTGGTACATCAGAACCCACATTGCTGGTACATCAGAACCCACAGTCACACGTTGCTGGTACATCAGAACACAAATGGATGGTACATCAGAACACACATGGCTGGTAGGTCAGGACACACATGGCTGGTACATCAGAACACACATGCATGGTACATCAGAACACACATGCATGGTACATCAGAAACACACATGGCTGGTACATCAGAACACACATGGATGGTACATCAGAACCCACAGTCACACATTGTTGGTACATCAGAACACACATGACTGGTACATCAGAACACACATGACTGGTACATCAGAACACACATGGATGGTACATCAGAACACACATTGCTGGTACATCAGAACACACAAACACATGTTACTTTTACAACAGAACACACATGGATGGTACATCATAACAAACATTGCTGGTACATCAGAACAGACATGGATGGTACATCAGAACACACATGGCTGGTACATCAGAATAGACATGGATGGTACATCAGAACACACATGGATGGTACATCAGAACATACATGGATGGTACATCAGAATAGACATGGATGGTACATCAGAACAGACATGGATGGTACATCAGAACATACATGGATGGTACATCAGAATAGACATGGATGGTACATCAGAACAGACATGGATGGTACATCAGAACAGACATGGATGGTACATCAGAATAGACATGGATGGTACATCAGAACACACATGGATGGTACATCAGAACACACATGGATGGTACATCAGAACAGACATGGCTGGGACATCAGAACAGACATGGCTGGTACATCAGAACAGACATGGCTGGTACATCAGAACACACATGGATGGTACATCAGAACACACATGGATGGTACATCAGAACACACATGGCTGGTACATCAGAATAGACATGGATGGTACATCAGAACACACATGGATGGTACATCAGAACACACATGGCTGGTACATCAGAACACACATGGCTGGTACATCAGAATAGACATGGCTGGTACATCAGAACAGACATGGATGGTACATCAGAACAGACATGGATGGTACATCAGAACAGACATGGATGGTACATCAGAACACACATGGCTGGTACATCAGAATAGACATGGCTGGTACATCAGAACAGACATGGATGGTACATCAGAACAGACATGGATGGTACATCAGAACAGACATGGATGGTACATCAGAACAGACATGGCTGGTACATCAGAATAGACATGGCTGGTACATCAGAACACACATGGCTGGTACATCAGAATAGACATGGATGGTACATCAGAACAGACATGGATGGTACATCAGAACACACATGGCTGGTACATCAGAACACACATGGATGGTACATCAGAACAGACATGGCTGGTACATCAGAATAGACATGGCTGGGACATCAGAACAGACATGGCTGGGACATCAGAACAGACATGGATGGTACATCAGAACAGACATGGATGGTACATCAGAACAGACATGGATGGTACATCAGAACACACATGGCTGGTACATCAGAATAGACATGGCTGGTACATCAGAACACACATGGCTGGTACATCAGAATAGACATGGCTGGTACATCAGAACAGACATGGATGGCACATCAGAACACACATGGCTGGTACATCAGAACACACATGGATGGTACATCAGAACAGACATGGCTGGTACATCAGAATAGACATGGATGGTACATCAGAACATACATGGCTGGTACATCAGAATAGACATGGCTGGTACATCAGAACAGACATGGCTGGGACATCAGAACAGACATGGCTGGGACATCAGAACAGACATGGATGGTACATCAGAACAGACATGGCTGGTACATCAGAACAGACATGGATGGTACATCAGAACACACATGGCTGGTACATCAGAACACACATGGCTGGTACATCAGAACACACATGGATGGTACATCAGAACAGACATGGATGGTACATCAGAACAGACATGGATGGTACATCAGAACACACATGGATGGTACATCAGAACAGACATGGCTGGTACATCAGAACAGACATGGATGGTACATCAGAACAGACATGGCTGGTACATCAGAACACACATGGCTGGTACATCAGAACACACATGGCTGGTACATCAGAACAGACATGGCTGGTACATCAGAACAGACATGGATGGTACATCAGAACACACATGGATGGTACATCAGAACACACATTGGGAAAATATAGTTGCAGGCAACGATGAGGTCTCCTTGGCTTTACTCTATCTATTGTATCTGAGGGCTAGATATCATCGTCCAAAACGGAGCCAGAACACGTGTTTTGACAGGCGAGCGGATCTTCCAAATACAGCCGGGGTCACGGGGGTCATGTACCTTTTAAGAAGTTCCGGAGAAGAAATAGTTCCCTCTTTAAAAGGCTGTATCTCAGTTGTTCTTGGGTCTATGTTCAAAACAATTAGTGTTCTGGAATCACCAGGACATCATCTACCATGCTGGCACATTTTGGGAGCACATTTTGGGAGCAAACTACTCAGAAAACTGCTGAAAAACATGGCCAAAAACTGAAAACAAAAATAACTGCCAAACGGTACGTTTTAGCGACTTGACCCGTCCAGGCAAAATTGTTGGGAATTCGATTGTGCATCTGTACAAGAAATTTGGAAGTGTTGGAACAATTAGTTCTTGAGATATTTGCTGTCAAACGTTGAAATTTTGGAATTAATTTTGAATTATCTCCCCTTTGCTATTGGGCCAAGAGCCTAGAGATTTTTAAGGGGAATATCTACACCTCGGTGCGCATCTGTGTGATTTTTTTTGTAAGCGATTCGGAGCATTGGTTTAGGAGTTATGTTTGGTACAAAAATCGGCGGAATAATAAATAATAATAATAATAATAATAATCCGAACGATTACAATAGGTCTCCTCCTAGAGGCAAGGAGCCCTAATTAATTGACTTGGTGTTTTACAATAGGTCTCCTGCCTAGAGGCAAGGAGCCGAAAACACAATAAACTCTGATCACAGACGCCCAGTTCATTCAATAACTATTAACATCTTAACTTACGTCCATCAACAACACCTAGTGACAGTAATACACCCCACAACCTCATTCTCTACATTAAAGTCAAGAAATGTAAATGAATGAATCACACATCAGGAACTTAAAATAATGGAGAGTTACATGTGTACTGTCTTATACCATCTGTCACGAGGATAGTCTCCCATGTCATCTGTCACGAGGATAGTCTCCCATGTCATCTGTCACGTGGATAGTCTCCCATGTCATCTGTCACGTGGATAGTCTCCCAAGTCATCTGTCACGTGGATAGTCTCCCATGTCATCTGTCACGTGGATAGTCTCCCATGTCATCTGTCACGTGGATAGTCTCCCATGTCATCTGTCACATGGATAGTCTCCCATGTCATCTGTCACGTGGATACTCTCCCATGTCATCTGTCACGTGGATACTCTCCCATGTCATCTGTCACGTGGATAGTCTCCCATGTCATCTGTCACGTGGATACTCTCCCATGTCATCTGTCACGTGGATAGTCTCCCATGTCATTGTTTACATGGGTCGTGTCTCATCTGTTGCATTGATAGTCTGTTGCGGCAGGTTAGTGGTGTTGCAGCTGTTGATGGTGTTGTAGCTGTTGATGGTTGGCGACTTCACACATCAGTCAAGGCCTTCTCCAGGTCATCACAGTGGTACATGCTGCGAGAGATAAATACTTGAACTGAGCAATGATGATTGACAAGAGGGTTGACAAGAACACACTGGTTGACAAGAACATGCTGTGTTTGACTATATGGGTATGTGGTGGTTGACAAGAAAATGCTCATAGGTAACCTATAGAGAGTATAGGTAACTTATAGAGAGTATAGGTAACCTATAGAGAGTATAGGTAACTTATAGAGAGTATAGGTAACTTATAGAGAGTATAGGTAACCTATAGAGAGTAAAGGTAACTTATGGAGAGTATAGGTAACTTATAGAGAGTATAGGTAGCCTATAATCTATAGAGAGGAAAGGTAACCTATAGAGAGTATAGGTAAATTATAGAGCATATAAGTAACTTCTAGAGAGTATAGGTAACCTATAGAGAGTAAAGGTAACTTATAGAGAGTAAAGGTAACTTAAACTTATAGAGAGTAAAGGTAATTTATAGAGAGTAAAGGTAACTTATAAAGCATATAGGTAACTTATAGAGAGTATAGGTAACCTATAGAGAGTATAGGTTACTTATAGAGAGTAAAGGTAACTTATAAAGCATATAGGTAACTTATAGAGAGTATAGGAAACTTATAGAGAGTAAAGGTAACTTATAGAGAGTATAGGTAACTTATAGAGAGTATAGGTAACTTATAGAGAGTATAGGTAACCTATAGAGAGTAAAGGTAACTTATGGAGAGTATAGGTAACTTATAGTGAGTGAGTGAGTTAAGATTTTAAGTCACATCGGCAATATTTCAGCCATATCGTGACTAAAGCAAGTTATAAATCTATCAACAATTTACGTGAAATGATAAAATTCTGCCGACGAAGGACAGTAAAATAACTAGATTATCACAGATATACATGTAAAACTAGTAATTGAATCTAAAACATTTTAACTAAAGGGGACAACACAATATAAAAATGGGCTATAGATCGCTAACAACTGAAGTTAGATCACCATACTAGAGACCATGGGGACTTACAGTACATTTGCTTCCTGCATGGGCCCTAGCTGGATTCTCATCATCCCTTCAGCTGTTAGCAATTGAGATAAATCTAGCCATACGTTAAAATTACACATATTCTACGATTAAAAAATGGAAAGTTGAAATTTACTTTGAATGTTTTGGGACTTCACATTACCCTCTCGGGAGGACAATAATTTTACAGTACTTTAACCCCCTCGAGGATACAGCCACTAACAATCTGTTACTAATTTGAACTTCCAATCATAAAATATTTAGCTATTTACAAATCTGTTAACAAATCTAATTCTTTTAAAAAGGCAATAACTAAATGAGAACTAACATTATTAAAAGATCCTTCAATGTTTTGACATTAAAATATTTATCCCTTGTGATGGAATATTCAATGCAGTCAAGCAAGACATGCTTGACTGTGATCCTGTCATCACAAAGGGATACAAAACGGAGGATCTTAAGCCTTTCAATAAATATTCATGAGTATATCTGGTATGGCCAATGCGACATCGTCGATATAATGACCTCTTCAAATCTGGACTGACAACCCAAGTAGGTGTAACCAGTATGGGGTTTTATTGCATGTAACTTATTAATACCTACTTGAAGTCCCACTTCTTCTGCATCAGATCACGGATGTAAGTTCTAATGGCAGCTTTATAATCAGAGTATGGAATAAGAAGTGGTGTCACAGATTTGTTGAGTGCTGCCTTGGCAGCAAGATCAGCCATTGTATTCCCAGAAATGCCAAGCGTGGCTGGGTAACCAACAAAAGACGATGTCGCGCACTGGCCAGTAGCAAGCTCATTATACAATTCAATAATGTCTAATAAAAGTGGATGTTTACAAGAAATATTTTTAATAGCCTGAAGACATGAAAGGGAATCGGAAAAGATTATGTACTGTTTATGTTTAGGATGTCGTTGAATATATTTAAGAGCCGTTAATATGGCGTTTGCTTCTGCTGTAAATATAGAGCTGTTATCGGGTATTCTAGAAGATATTGTTCGGGATCCAATGACAGTGGCACATGCCACTGCGCCACCATCCTTGGACCCATCTGTAAATAAGGATTTGTATGTATTATATTTATTTCTTAATTGACTAAATTCTATAGGTAACTTATAGAGAGTATAGGTAGCCTATAATCTATAGAGAGTAAAGGTAAATTATAGAGCATATAAGTAACTTCTAGAGAGTATAGGTAACCTATAGAGAGTAAAGGTAACTTATAGAGAGTAAAGGTAACTTAAACTTATAGAGAGTAAAGGTAATTTATAGAGAGTAAAGGTAACTTATAAAGCATATAGGTAACTTATAGAGAGTATAGGTAACCTATAGAGAGTATAGGTTACTTATAGAGAGTAAAGGTAACTTATAAAGCATATAGGTAACTTATAGAGAGTATAGGTAACCTATAGAGAGTAAAGGTAATTTATAGAGTAAAGGTAAAGCATATAGGTATAGAGGCATATAGGTAACCTATAGAGTATAGGTTACTTATGAGGAATAGGTAACCTATAGAGGTATAGGTAACTTATAGAGCATATAGGTAACCTATGAGGTATGGGTAGCCTATAGAGAGTATGGGTAACCTATAGAGAGTATAGGTAACTTATAAAGCATAACTTATAGAGGTATGGGAAGTATAGGTAACCTATAGAGAGTATAGGTAACCTATAGAGAGTATAGGTAACTTATATAAAATCAGTCGATGAAATGGGCACTGTGAGGACTGAAAGTGATAGTATGTTGGTTCTTACTGGGCCAGCTCTATCCCCCTCTTTTCCCGGATGACGAGTCTGGCTGGTTTATCACGGGATGCCAGGGTCAGGATGAGAGACAGGAAGGCAGTCTCCGTGTCGGGATCCACTCCTTCTCCTTTTACCCCAAGTAACATTCTGATGAGCGCAGGCAGCCATCCGGACTTGAGAATGAGTTTGGCAACATCTTGGTACAGTGGTACCAGGGCACACAAACCTGTAAAACATGGACACAGATGTGTAAAACATGGACGCAGATGAGTAGAGACTGAAGGTCTATTAGAAGTGAAGCCTTACGTTGCACAGAGAGTGACGGTCCATTAGAAGTGAAGCCTTACTTTGCATGGAGAGAAACCACAGCTCAGAGATGTCCTCCCACACTCCACGATACGTCTCTGACACTCCCAGGGCGGGGGGCTTCTGACTGACACGACAGTGACACTTACTCAGGAAGCTGATACTCCCTGCCAGAAACTGGTCCCTCACCTCAGGCTGGATGTCTGGAAGATGAGGAAGTCAGTCATGATGTAACTCTGACATGATTCAGTCATGATGTAACTCTGACATGATTCAGTCATGATGTAACTCTGACATGATTCAGTCATGATGTAACTCTGACATGATTCAGTCATGATGTAACTCTGACATGATTCAGTCATGATGTAACTCTGACATGATTCAGTCATGATGTAACTCTGACATGATTCAGTCATGATGTAACTGACATGATTCAGTCATGATGTAACTCTGACATGATTCAGTCATGATGTAACTCTGACATGATTCAGTCATGATGTAACTCTGACATGATTCAGTCATGATGTAACTCTGACATGATTCAGTCATGATGTAACTCTGACATGATTCAGTCATGATGTAACTCTGACATGATTCAGTCATGATGTAACTCTGACATGATTCAGTCATGATGTAACTCTGACATGATTCAGTCATGATGTAACTCGGACATGATTCAGTCATGATGTAACTCGGACATGATTCAGTCATGATGTAACTCGGACATGATTCAGTCATGATGTAACTCGGACATGATTCAGTCATGATGTAACTCTGACATGATTCAGTCATGATGTAACTCGGACATGATTCAGTCATGATGTAACTCGGACATGATTCAGTCATGATGTAACTCGGACATGATTCAGTCATGATGTAACTCGGACATGATTCAGTCATGATGTAACTCGGACATGATTCAGTCATGATGTAACTCGGAGATCAGTCAGCAAGTCAGTGAATGACTTTTCTCTTATAACCAGTACTAACCAGTTCTGTGATTCTGGTGCCGAAGCAGCATGAGCCCAATGGTGACAAAGTTTCCCGACATGACCAGCAAGTTGAAGTCGTGCACTGAAATAGTAGAACCTGACAGTACATACCTGGCTATTTCAAAGCAGTATTGAATGAGATGGTTCAGGGTTGGGTTGGTTTGTCAGAGAGGGGTAGGGTCAGGTTGTTTGGGGTGTCGTGAGGTACCTGTTTTGGTGAGATAGTGGCAGACCAGGTCCAGCAGTTGGTGGAACTTGTGGTGGGAGGATGCTGTGGCCGGCTCGGTGACAGACAGGTTCAAGAATATCCCGCACAGGCTGGCGATACACTCCTACAACAGTTGTATCCATCGCTAGCTCACAACATCCAAAATAATACAATCATGGCTCATTTGATGTTGATAATAAATTGACTTGTCAATATTGATCAATTAATTAGGTCACCTCGGAAATGAATGACCTAAATATTACCTTGGGATTGAGTGACCTGAAAGTTACCTCGGCAATACATGACCTGAATGGTATTATAGCAATAAATTACTTCAACATTTATTTGGCAATGAATGATCAGAAGCTAACTGAGTGTTGACACTTTGGTAAGGAGTAACCGGACATTACCTTGATAATGCATGACCTCAACATTACCTTGGCAAAAAAATGACCCGAATATGAAATTTGCAATGAATTAACTGAATGTTAGGTCAGTAATGAATGACCTGAACATGACCTTGGAATTGAATGACCTTGGTGTTACCTTAGTATCTAGGTCATCTCTGTTGCCCAGGAAGTACATCATCTGTTGACGGAAATACTCCAGCAGAAACATGTGAATACCTTCACCCAATAAGATAGTCCGTGACTTGTCCTCTGCTGTAAGGTGGCAGAAACCAGGAAGGAGGAACCGCACCAGATCCACACCACAGCACTGGTCTACGCTGGAACACTGGTCAGAGGTGCAGAACTGGTCCGTACCAGGACACGGGGGGCTGTCTGCACTCAATACAGGATGTCCTTCACCCTCTGTAGTAGCTGAGTTGAGTGGGACAGATGTGTGATCTTGACCTTCAGAACTTGCTGTGTGATCCACATCTGTGTTCTCAGCTTTGACCTTCGGAGTAACTGCCTGCTGTGTCTCTCTGTGAGCATGGGAATCCAGTTTCAGACTGTCTAAACTGGGAGCGGTCTCTAATGTCTCATCCTGCTTTCCTTGAATACTTTGCACCTGACCCTTGCTGAAATGCATTGAAAATAAGGCTTGGTTTGTTGTCTTTCACAATAATAAGATTTCCATCCAAACATCCACATCTCATCAGCTGCCATTTAATCAGTCACCAAGTCTTACTCCTCACTTACTCTTCACACAAACTGGGAGCCTATGTTAATCCAGGCAATCAGTCACCAAGTCTTACTCCTCACTTACTCTTCACACAAACTGGGAGCCTATGTTAATCCAGGCAATCAGTCACCAAGTCTTACTCCTCACTTACTCTTCACACAAACTGGGAGCCTATGTTAATCCAGGCAATCAGTCACCAAGTCTTACTCCTCACTTACTCTACAAACAAGCTGGGAGCCTATGTTAATCCAGGCAATCAGTCACCAAGTCTTACTCCTCACTTACTCTTCACACAAACTGGGAGCCTATGTTAATCCAGGCAATCAGTCACCAAGTCTTACTCCTCACTTACTCTTCACAACAAACTGGGAGCCTATGTTAATCCAGGCAATCAGTCACCAAGTCTTACTCCTCACTTACTCTTCACACAAACTGGGAGCCTATGTTAATCCAGGCAATCAGTCACCAAGTCTTACTCCTCACTTACTCTACACACAAACTGGGAGCCTATGTTAATCCAGGCAATCAGTCACCAAGTCTTACTCCTCACTTACTCTACAAACAAGCTGGGAGCCTATGTTAATCCAGGCAATCAGTCACCAAGTCTTACTCCTCACTTACTCTTCACACAAACTGGGAGCCTATGTTAATCCAGGCAATCAGTCACCAAGTCTTACTCCTCACTTACTTACTTCACACAAACTGGGAGCCTATGTTAATCCAGGCAATCAGTCACCAAGTCTTACTCCTCACTTACTCTTCACACAAACTGGGAGCCTATGTTAATCCAGGCAATCAGTCACCAAGTCTTACTCCTCACTTACTCTTCACACAAGCTGGGAGCCTATGTTAATCCAGGCAATCAGTCACCAAGTCTTACTCCTCACTTACTCTTCACAAACAAGCTGGGAGCCTATGTTAATCCAGGCAATCAGTCACCAAGTCTTACTCCTCACTTACTCTTCACACAAACTGGGAGCCTATGTTAATCCAGGCAATCAGTCACCAAGTCTTACTCCTCACTTACTCTTCACACAAGCTGGGAGCCTATGTTAATCCAGGCAATCAGTCACCAAGTCTTACTCCTCACTTACTCTTCACACAAACTGGGAGCCTATGTTAATCCAGGCAATCAGTCACCAAGTCTTACTCCTCACTTACTCTTCACACACAAGCTGGGAGCCTATGTTAATCCAGGCAATCAGTCACCAAGTCTTACTCCTCACTTACTCTTCACACAAACTGGGAGCCTATGTTAATCCAGGCAATCAGTCACCAAGTCTTACTCCTCACTTACTCTTCACACAAGCTGGGAGCCTATGTTAATCCAGGCAATCAGTCACCAAGTCTTACTCCTCACTTACTCTTCACACAAACTGGGAGCCTATGTTAATCCAGGCAATCAGTCACCAAGTCTTACTCCTCACTTACTCTTCACACAAGCTGGGAGCCTATGTTAATCCAGGCAATCAGTCACCAAGTCTTACTCCTCACTTACTCTTCACACAAACTGGGAGCCTATGTTAATCCAGGCAATCAGTCACCAAGTCTTACTCCTCACTTACTCTTCACACAAACTGGGAGCCTATGTTAATCCAGGCAATCAGTCACCAAGTCTTACTCCTCACTTACTCTTCACACAAAGCTGGGAGCCTATGTTAATCCAGGCAATCAGTCACCAAGTCTTACTCCTCACTTACTCTTCACACAAACTGGGAGCCTATGTTAATCCAGGCAATCAGTCACCAAGTCTTACTCCTCACTTACTCTTCACACAAACTGGGAGCCTATGTTAATCCAGGCAATCAGTCACCAAGTCTTACTCCTCACTTACTCTTCACACAAACTGGGAGCCTATGTTAATCCAGGCAATCAGTCACCAAGTCTTACTCCTCACTTACTCTTCACACAAACTGGGAGCCTATGTTAATCCAGGCAATCAGTCACCAAGTCTTACTCCTCACTTACTCTTCACACAAACTGGGAGCCTATGTTAATCCAGGCAATCAGTCACCAAGTCTTACTCCTCACTTACTCTTCACACAAACTGGGAGCCTATGTTAATCCAGGCAATCAGTCACCAAGTCTTACTCCTCACTTACTCTTCACACAAACTGGGAGCCTATGTTAATCCAGGCAATCAGTCACCAAGTCTTACTCCTCACTTACTCTTCACACAAACTGGGAGCCTATGTTAATCCAGGCAATCAGTCACCAAGTCTTACTCCTCACTTACTCTTCACACAAACTGGGAGCCTATGTTAATCCAGGCAATCAGTCACCAAGTCTTACTCCTCACTTACTCTTCACACAAACTGGGAGCCTATGTTAATCCAGGCAATCAGTCACCAAGTCTTACTCCTCACTTACTCTTCACACAAACTGGGAGCCTATGTTAATCCAGGCAATCAGTCACCAAGTCTTACTCCTCACTTACTCTTCACACAAACTGGGAGCCTATGTTAATCCAGGCAATCAGTCACCAAGTCTTACTCCTCACTTACTCTACAAACAAGCTGGGAGCCTATGTTAATCCAGGCAATCAGTCACCAAGTCTTACTCCTCACTTACTCTACACACAAGCTGGGAGCCTATGTTAATCCAGGCAATCAGTCACCAAGTCTTACTCCTCACTTACTCTTCACACAAACTGGGAGCCTATGTTAATCCAGGCAATCAGTCACCAAGTCTTACTCCTCACTTACTCTTCACACAAACTGGGAGCCTATGTTAATCCAGGCAATCAGTCACCAAGTCTTACTCCTCACTTACTCTTCACACAAACTGGGAGCCTATGTTAATCCAGGCAATCAGTCACCAAGTCTTACTCCTCACTTACTCTTTCACACAAACTGGGAGCCTATGTTAATCCAGGCAATCAGTCACCAAGTCTTACTCCTCACTTACTCTTCACACAAACTGGGAGCCTATGTTAATCCAGGCAATCAGTCACCAAGTCTTACTCCTCACTTACTCTTCACACAAACTGGGAGCCTATGTTAATCCAGGCAATCAGTCACCAAGTCTTACTCCTCACTTACTCTACACACACAAACTGGGGAGCCTATGTTAATCCAGGCAATCAGTCACCAAGTCTTACTCCTCACTTACTCTTCACACAAACTGGGAGCCTATGTTAATCCAGGCAATCAGTCACCAAGTCTTACTCCTCACTCCTCACTTACTCTTCACACAAACTGGGAGCCTATGTTAATCCAGGCAATCAGTCACCAAGTCTTACTCCTCACTTACTCTTCACACAAACTGGGAGCCTATGTTAATCCAGGCAATCAGTCACCAAGTCTTATTCCTCACTTACTTCTCTCACACAAACTGGGAGCCTATGTTAATCCAGGCAATCAGTCACCAAGTCTTACTCCTCACTTACTCTTCACACAAACTGGGAGCCTATGTTAATCCAGGCAATCAGTCACCAAGTCTTACTCCTCACTTACTCTTCACACAAACTGGGAGCCTATGTTAATCCAGGCAATCAGTCACCAAGTCTTACTCCTCACTTACTCTTCACACAAACTGGGAGCCTATGTTAATCCAGGCAATCAGTCACCAAGTCTTACTCCTCACTTACTCTTCACACAAACTGGGAGCCTATGTTAATCCAGGCAATCAGTCACCAAGTCTTACTCCTCACTTACTCTTCACACAAACTGGGAGCCTATGTTAATCCAGGCAATCAGTCACCAAGTCTTACTCCTCACTTACTCTTCACACAAACTGGGAGCCTATGTTAATCCAGGCAATCAGTCACCAAGTCTTACTCCTCACTTACTCTTCACACAAACTGGGAGCCTATGTTAATCCAGGCAATCAGTCACCAAGTCTTACTCCTCACTTACTCTTCACACAAAGTCTTACTCCTCACTTACTCTTTCACACAAACTGGGAGCCTATGTTAATCCAGGCAATCAGTCACCAAGTCTTACTCCTCACTTACTCTTCACACAAACTGGGAGCCTATGTTAATCCAGGCAATCAGTCACCAAGTCTTACTCCTCACTTACTCTTCACACAAACTGGGAGCCTATGTTAATCCAGGCAATCAGTCACCAAGTCTTACTCCTCACTTACTCTTCACACAAACTGGGAGCCTATGTTAATCCAGGCAATCAGTCACCAAGTCTTACTCCTCACTTACTCTTATCTATGATTATTTATGGTATATGTTATCCAAAACTGCCTTGGTCTGGCGTCATGTGTGATAACCTGAACAAATGTAATTAACTAGAAGGAATGCTTGTCAAAAGGTTTTGACATTATATGTCTAGATATTACCATATATGTAGAAGGAATGGAAGTAGATTGTATATCTCCTCACGGAGTGCTGATGTCTCCTCTGCAAGCCATGCCCCAAGCACCCGCACTGATGCTGTCACTAGCAGGGATGTCCTGGGCTGCAAGAGATAATGTTTTAGCATGTTATCTTCTGCATTAAGACATCCCACAGCCCAGAGAGCATCAACTTATCTTACAATACACGTACAATATGAGTAGTCAGAGTACAATCTGTAACTAAATATCGGCATCAGTATCTTTAACATTGTACTTCAACAGTACTTTATCAGCATATGAAATAAGGCCTGTCCGACAGCCTGAGACAGGCTAGATTTCGGACGGATGGACTAAATTTACAGCTAGCCAGTGCGATGGTCTGGTAAATTTTTTAGATGTTCCATAAATCTGATTAAATTCAACATATCTTGGTGTCTGGTTAAATCCATTTTGGACTGGTAAAATTTGAAGGTCCATGGTATCTGCCCCTGTTCATACCAAAGCCATCGATGATGTTCACCTACCATCTCTATCTGCTGTTGTGAGACCTGTGACAAGAAGAAGATGACACTGTTGAATGCACCGAGCATGGCAGAGTGAAGCTGCAGCACCTGCTTCTTCTCCAGCCCCAGGGACATTCCGGCAGTCATGTGACCAATGATGTTCTCTAGGAGGCCATAACATGAACACACCACACCAGCTTTTCTCTTCACCTGCAATGACATAATGGTCACTGCCATTTACCTGGAATATTGCCGGGTCCAGCTTTAAACAAAAAAACAAAACATAGTGGTAACCTCCTAAAGCGTCACCACACAAATACATGGCATACTCCTAAAACACAAATGTGGGACATCCACAAGCAACATCCCCACATCAACATTTAACATCCTGTAGAAACATCCCCACACCAACAAGTAACATCCTGTAGAAACATCTCCACATCAACATGTAACATCCTGTAGAAACATCTCCACATCAACATGTAACATCCTGTTGAAACATCTCCACATCAACATGTAACATCTTGTAGAAACATCCCCACATCAACATGGGACATCCTTTAGAAACATCTCTACATCAACATGTAACATCTTGTAGAAAGATCTCCACACCAACATGGGACATCCTGTATAAACATCTCCACATCAACATGTAGCATCCTGTAGAAACATCTCCACACCAACATGGGACATCCTGTAGAAACATCTCCACATCAATATGGGACATCCTGTAGAAACATCTCCACATCAACATGTAACATCCTGTAGAAACATCTCCACATCAATATGGGACATCCTGTAGAAACATCTCCACATCAATATGGGACATCCTGTAGAAACATCTCCACATCAACATGGGACATCCTGTAGAAACATCTCCACATCAATATGGGACATCCTGTAGAAACATCTCCACATCAATATGGGACATCCTGTAGAAACATCTCCACACCAACATGTAACATCCTGTAGAAACATCTCCACATCAACATGTAACATCCTGTAGAAACATCTCCACATCAACATGTAACATCCTGTATAAACATCTCCACACCAACATGGCACATCCTGTATAAACATCTCCACATCAACATGTAACATCCTGTAGAAACATCTCTACATCAACATGAGACATCCTTTAGAAACATCTCTACATCAACATAGGACATCTTGTAGAAACATCTCCACACCAACATGGGACATCCTTTAGAAAGATCTCTACATCAACATGGGACATCCTTTAGAAACATCTCTACATCAACATGGGACATCCTGTATAAACATCTCCACACCAACATGTAGCATCCTGTAGAAACATCTCCACATCAATATGGGACATCCTGTAGAAACATCTCCACATCAACATGGCACATCCTGTATAAACATCTCTACATCAACATGGGACATCCTGTATAAACATCTCTACATCAACATGTAACATCCTGTAGAAACATCTCTACATCAACATGGGACATCCTGTATAAACATCTCCACATCAACATGTAACATCTTGTAGAAACATCTCCACATCAATATGGGACATCCTGTATAAACATCTCCACACCAACATGGCACATCTTGTAGAAACATCTCTACATCAACATGGGACATCCTGTATAAACATCTCCACATCAACATGGGACATCCTGTATAAACATCTCCACACCAACATGGGACATCCTGTAGAAACATCTCCACATCAACATGTAACATCTTGTAGAAACATCTCTACATCAACATGGGACATCCTGTAGAAACATCTCTACATCAACATGGGACATCCTGTATAAACATCTCCACACCAACATGTAACATCCTGTAGAAACATCTCCACATCAACATGTAACATCCTGTAGAAACATCTCCACACCAACATGTAACATCTTGTAGAAACATCTCCACATCAACATGTAACATCCTGTAGAAACATCTCCACATCAACATGTAACATCCTGTATAAACATCTCTACATCAACATGGGACATCCTGTATAAACATCTCCACACCAACATGGGACATCCTGTAGAAACATCTCTACATCAACATGGGACATCCTGTATAAACATCTCCACACCAACATGGGACATCCTGTAGAAACATCTCTACATCAACATGGGACATCCTGTATAAACATCTCCACATCAACATGTAACATCTTGTAGAAACATCTCCACATCAACATGGGACATCCTGTAGAAACATCTCTACATCAACATGTAACATCCTGTTGAAACATCTCCACATCAACATGTAACATCTTGTAGAAACATCTCCACACCAACATGGGACATCCTGTAGAAACATCTCTACATCAACATGTAACATCCTGTTGAAACATCTCCACATCAACATGTAACATCTTGTATAAACATCTCCACACCAACATGGCACATCCTGTAGAAACATCTCTACATCAACATGGGACATCCTGTATAAACATCTCTACATCAACATGGGACATCCTGTATAAACATCTCCACACCAACATGGCACATCCTGTAGAAACATCTCCACATCAACATGTAACATCCTGTAGAAACATCTCTACATCAACATGGGACATCCTGTAGAAACATCTCCACATCAACATGTAACATCTTGTAGAAACATCCCCACATCAACATGTAACATCCTGTAGAAACATCTCCACATCAACATGTAACATCTTGTAGAAAGATCTCTACATCAACATGGGACATCCTTTAGAAACATCTCTACATCAACATAGGACATCTTGTAGAAACATCTCCACACCAACATGGGACATCCTTTAGAAAGATCTCTACATCAACATGGGACATCCTTTAGAAACATCTCTACATCAACATGGGACATCCTGTATAAACATCTCCACACCAACATGCAGCATCCTGTAGAAACATCTCCACATCAATATGGGACATCCTGTAGAAACATCTCCACATCAACATGTAACATCTTGTAGAAACATCTCCACACCAACATGGGACATCCTGTATAAACATCTCCACACCAACATTTAACATCCTGTATAAACATCTCCACACCAACATGGCACATCCTGTAGAAACATCTCCACATCAACATGTAACATCCTGTAGAAACATCTCTACATCAACATGGGACATCCTGTATAAACATCTCCACACCAACATGGGACATCCTGTAGAAACATCTCCACATCAACATGTAACATCTTGTAGAAACATCTCCACACCAACATGGCACATCCTGTAGAAACATCTCCACATCAACATGTAACATCTTGTAGAAACATCTCCACACCAACATGGGACATCCTGTATAAACATCTCCACATCAACATGTAACATCTTGTAGAAACATCTCCACACCAACATGTAACATCCTGTAGAAACATCTCCACATCAACATGTAACATCTTGTAGAAACATCTCCACACCAACATGTAACATCCTGTAGAAACATCTCCACATCAACATGGGACATCCTGTATAAACATCTCCACATCAATATGGGACATCCTGTAGAAACATCTCTACATCAACATGGGACATCTTGTAGAAACTTCTCCACACCAACATGGGACATCCTGTATAAACATCTCCACACCAACATGTAGCATCCTGTAGAAACATCTCCACATCAATATGGGACATCCTGTAGAAACATCTCCACACCAACATGGGACATCCTGTAGAAACATCTCCACATCAATATGGGACATCCTGTAGAAACATCTCCACATCAACATGTAACATCCTGTAGAAACATCTCTACATCAACATGGGACATCCTGTAGAAACATCTCCACACCAACATGGGACATCCTGTATAAACATCTCCACATCAACATGTAACATCTTGTAGAAACATCTCTACATCAACATGGCACATCCTGTATAAACATCTCCACATCAACATGGGACATCCTGTATAAACATCTCCACATCAACATGTAACATCCTGTAGAAACATCTCCACACCAACATGGGACATCCTGTAGAAACATCTCCACATCAACATGGGACATCCTGTAGAAACATCTCCACACCAACATGGGACATCCTGTAGAAACATCTCTACATCAACATGGCACATCCTGTAGAGACATCTTCACAGCAACGCCAACAGGCTGTAGAAATATCTCCACACCAACATGGTACATCCTCTAGGGCGGTGGGCAAGCTGGCTAAGGTGCCAGTCTAGTGATCCAGCAAGGTTGAGGTGTCGGGATCAAGCCCACCTGTGACCGGGTGTAAAAACCTTGGAGTCAACTTTGTGACTCTTTCAGTGTTGTCACACCCCCTAGTGTACAGTACACAACTCTGTGCACTTAAAAGAACCCACGAATCAATTGGTATTTGACCAGATGGTGGCCACATGAATACGTGCAAACACCTAGTTGCGGGTACAGCAACGTGCAGTAAACTTGGACAAAGTACTGTGACTATGTGTCCCAGTTCACCCAGCTGTGAATGGGTACCTCGTTAGGATGAGAAAGCCACAATAACCCCGTGCGCCTAGTGGCTGCAAGAGCTGTATGATCCATACGAAAAATAACAGCGCCTTGAGCATGCACTAGTTGCGTGGATATGTGCGCTATATAAATATCCTATAATAATACCACCGTAACAGCAGAACAGATGGGTACCCATACGGATCCCTTCTGTTCGTTTGATATAGACCTTGAGAGTCTTTCGGACATCCAACGGGTGAGTGCTCATTGCAGAGGTCCCCGATGTGGAAGGCTGGGTTAGAGTAGGAAGTTAGATAGGAGCTGTCACATGGAAAGCGTGATCGATCTTCAGACGGTTAGTATCCAGGAGGCGAATACTGACACGATCTGGATGGAACACAGTCAGCGCCGACCCTACGCCCAGATGTTACCGCCACCAGAAATACGGCCTTACATGTTAACAACTGAATGGAAATGGCCCATAGACGTGAGACTGGACAGCCAATCTAGCACGATTGACAACTCCCAAGGTGGGCTAGTTCGCCTGACAGCAGGTCGAACCCGATCCACGCCAGCTAAAAAGTGCTGTAGAAGAAGGTGCTGCCCCAGAAGAGCACCATCGGCAGGGGTGTAAAAAGTGGAAATAGCGGTGGAGTAGCCACAAATGGTCGAAGCTGCCAAGCCTTCTTCCAAACGAGCTTGCAAAAACTCCAATACTCAGACTAAATCCGCAGAAAAGGGATCTACAATCCCCTGATCTGAACACCAGCGCTCATAGCGGGACCACCTATCCTCATATTGAACGCTTGTCGAATCCCGCCTCGAAGCCAGAATTGTGTCTGCAACTGCTGCAGGAATTCCGCATGCTTCGAGGCTAGACCTGACAGAGGCCAAGCCACCCACTGAATCCTTGGATTGGGGTATGGCGCGCCGTTCTGAGTGAGAATGTCCGGTCGCAAAGGTAATAGAACAGGAGGCTGAGCCAGAAACCTGAGAATTACCGGAAACCAGCTCTGTGATGGCCATAGCGGTGCCAGTAGCACAAGTAGCTGAGCTGGATGGGTGAACAGCTGGGAGAGGACCCGAAATGAGTGGTAGCCCAGAGCACTTTGCCCGTCCAATCCAGCAGGAAGGCGTCTGAAGCCAACGCCCTCTGGTCCAGTATTCGAGAGCAGAACATGGGTATCTGATTCGTCCCACCGCACGCAAACAGATCCACCTGGAAGGATCCGTACAACTGGAAGATAACTCCGAATATCTGCCAGTCGAGCATCCACTCGTGCGGGGCCAGGATCCGTCGAGAGAGAGCGTCTGCTCACACGTTCTCCAGCCCCGGGAGATAAACAGGAAGCACCTGACAGTCGCAAAGGTCGCACCAGAGGAGAAATTCCCACATCTCCCGAAGGAGCGCTAGGGACACCGTGCCGCCTTGCTTCAGGATGTACTCTGCCTTGCTTCAGGATGTATTATGCCGGTGAACTCTGGCGGGCCTCGCTTCCACAGTGGGAGATGGCCGACACTGACGGTGGATAGCAGTGTTGCTGGAAGCCTTTTCCCACTCCGGCAGGAATAGAGAGAGGCGGCCCCCCACTGGGACGTGTGGTAAGAGGGCTTGAGTGGTCCCTTGCAGATGAACTGACTGGGACAGACCCACGGTGACAGCCTGCAGGTTTAACGGGAGGTCGGGGCAGACCTCCCGCGACTGCGAAAAGACTGATGGGAGCCAGACGAAGAGGACTGCTCCTTGCCCTTGCCTTTGGTGGGACGGCTCCTCCTATCTCTGCCCAGCGGCCGAAGCTACGGGAGCGCGGGGGCGAGAAGCCCGCGGATGCTCCAACAAGGCCTGAGAGTCCTTGAAGGAGGTAGCTGCGGCAGCAGCCTCCCGAATGACCTGCTGAGCCCCCGGAAACAACGTCGCTCCCAGCCTGAAAGGGCCAGCAAGGTCTGCTGTGTCGCTTCCGAGTAACGGGACGTAGACAGCCACAGCTTGCGCATCCCCATGACTGCGCACATCCCCATAGACGCAAAGAGTCTCCGGCTAGGTGGGCCTGCACTTCTGACAATTGGTGAAGCAGAACAACATGCGGGGAAACGTCCCCAGTGCTCCCTTCTGCCTCCAGAGCCGACCTTTGAATTGAGGAAAGGTAGGCCTCATGGATCACCACCAACACCTGCTGCATGGCATTCCGGTAGACTTCCTCATAAGTCTGGTAAGCCTGCTGCAGGGGAGCACCCGCAAGGGCAAACGGTGGAACTAAACGCCCTTGCCTGATGAAGCCGAGCCTCCCCCGAGGGAGACCGAAGTGAACACACACTCGTCAACCACCGGCACAAAGAACAGAGAATCGTCCCCCAGCTGGTACCTCTTAACGAGGTCGGGTAAATCAAACCGGAGGCGTGTTCCAACCAGGTGGGGATCCATCACGTCCTGTGCCAGAGAAGGCAAGACACGGAGCAGTATCTGCGAGGGTTGCCTAGGGGCAATATACTCGGCAATACGTTGCCGCACCTCCCGGAGAGCCGACGAGAAACGGAAAGTGCCCTCTGGCTCCTCGACCTCTCCAACGTCCATAGACTCGGCACCCGAGCCCATGGCAGAATTCGGGTCTCCTCATGAAGAGGATCCGAACCCCGACCCGGTGGTAGGCCGAGTCCCAGACACCGAGGGAAGGGAAGAGCCGAAGGAAATCCCTGCTCCGGCAACCGACACACTACTCGAACCCCGGTCCCGAGACACTGGAGGAAGACCGGGCAGAACCGGGCCGGGGTGGTGCAGGGGCCGAAACCCCAGGAATCCTCAACGGACCCTGCGCCAACACTGAGAGGGGGACTGGGAGCGAACCCTCCACTTCCTGGGTAGCCGGGCTCGGCGATCCCACCCTCGGACTCTTGGTCCCCTGTTCAGACTTCACGGAGTCCACATGCCGCTGAAACAACAGAGTGATTAGTGACATATCAAAACCACTAGATTGGGATGATTGGGAATGTGTCTTATGCGAAGACCTAGTTTTAGCTTGTTTGGCTTTTTTGGCTTTGGACGGGGGGACCTGCTGGGTAAGTTCCCCTCCCGCCTCTCGCAATTCCTTATAGAAAAGGAAATCCGCCGCCCTTCTCTTCTGGGCCCGGGAAGGGAAAAGGCCATACAGAGTTCGCAGACATCTGGGTCATGTCCCACCTTCTCTAAGCAGCACAAGCATTTATCATGCTTGTCGGCTCTAGTGATAATCTGCCCACAGACAGAACACCCAGTAAACGCCTGAAAGCAAACACACAAGCATGTATACTAGCCACATAAAGAAACTGTGCATTGTCAAGTATCATCCCAGTTGATAAGTACGATAACAATGTCAAAGGTACATATAAACTTTAATGGAGAGATCATGAGACCATAACAAGTCGGGAGAATTTCAATTGAAAAGTCAATCACAATGACGTCACGAGTCCACAAGCAGGGGTCAAACGACCATGTCACAAGCTCAATAACGGGTATGTCCACCATCGGCATTGAGAACAGCAGTGCATCGACGATGCATAGAGCCTATCAAACGTGCAAGGAAGGCTTGTGGGATGTCACGCCAGATTCTCTCAAGTTCTGTTGCAAGGTCAAGGAAGTTATCTGGCGGATGAGGAAGACGGCGTAGACGTCGATCCATCTCGTCCCAAACATGCTCTATCGGGGAGAAATCCGGTGAATTTGCAGGCCAAGGCAGTAAGTCAACGTTGTGGCGTTGCAAGAAATCCATAGCAACCCTTGCCGTATGAGGGCGGGCATTGTCCTGTTGGAATGTTAACCCAGGGCCATGACGTTGCAGAATGGGAATTGCCACAGGTCGAAGAATCTGATCCCTGTAGCCCACACCAGTTAAGTTGCCCTGAACAATCACCAAAGGAGTTCTTTGGCATGCTGTTATTCCACCCCAAATCATCACAGAACCACCACCAAAGCGATTCCTCTGCAAGACACAGGCCTGTGCATAACGTTCTCCCACTCGCCTATAGGCACGTTGACATCCATCACTATGGGAAATGTTCAACCTGGACTCATCTGTAAAAACAACATTTCTCCACCAAAACAAGGGTCTGCAGACATGATTTCGGCACCACATTCGGCGAGCTTGTCGATGACGTGTCAGGATAGGCCGTATGGCGGGACGTCGTGGTCGGATCCTGTGATGACGTAAACGTTGTCAAACTGTGTTGGGGTGGATACGGCAAAGTCCTGGGATGCTTCGGGCAGTCATCACTGCAGTCTGAAACCTATGGCGAAGATGGGTCACCCATATCCATATGTCCTGTCTTGGCGTTGTTACACGTGGACGTCCAGAACGTGGCCGATCGATGACGTTATTTGTGTTCTGGTAGCGTCTCACCAGTGCAGAAATGGTGTTCCGGTGGCAGTGGAAATGTGCAGCCACTTGTCGTTGAGTCATTCCCCCACGGACCATCCCAATGGCCTCATGACATTGTGCAGACGTGAGCCTTGGCATGCTATGCGTTTCAATAGCCGTTTAATTCTTTGAACGATCGCAAGGGCAGGCAGGGGTTGAGCTTTCCAAAGTGACAGTATTGTGTGGCATTCATTTGCTCTGTTTCTCTGTCCCGGAATGCACAGGCAACAACGTATTGCACGTCTCAAGGACGAACCCACTGACGTCACGGAACGTGGCACGTGCATGCATGTCACTAATCTCTGAGTTTAAATCCTTATGTGTCTACACTGGTTTGATAAATTAAGATTTTAAATTTTTGTATGCACAGTTTCTTTATGTGCCTAGTATAGCTAACAGCGGAACCAGCAGCATAAATATACACGTACAAAACATTGAAAATTATGTGAATGCGACCATGGGACATGAAATACGTGGTTAATAACCCAATATGACAACCACTTGGCACACTAAACTTCCCGCCATGGAAGAGCAACACGTACGTAAACCACGGGAAACCTAGCGTAAATGTTTAATAAAAAGTCACAGAAATGAGAAATAACAGACTTCAAAGTAAATTTAACTGTTCTTTGTCTTGCGCAAGAACGAATAAAGACCATACATACAGTTGTTGAAGTCTCAGACATTCTTCTACATGAAGTAACTCAGCTTGTAACTGAGGTTGGAAATACGTGTGAACGCTTGAGTGACAGCAGAAGGAATGATGATACGGGCCTAGGTGCTTACCTGGTTGGCTGCGCAAGCGTAGCAGGGAGGTAACTCCACGTGGTGGGGGCCGTATAATAGATAAAAAAGACTTGTATTTATTGTTCAGTACTTTTATTAAAACATTGATACAACTGTCACATGACATTTTCAGCCGCAGAAAATGCATATATGTACCCCAAGGACGATCTCTATGAAAAAGAATAAAGGGTAACATACCTCATCAATTCTCCCATCTTCCAGCACCATCCTAACCTCTATACAGGCCATGTGAGTGAGCAACAGAAGCATCTTCAGGTCATCAGTGATGGGTGGCAGGAGACAGGCCACACCCTGACAGCCTACCAGGGAGGCCGCAAGACACAGTGTGGAATCTCTCAGTCTACTGTCTGAAACACCAATACATTCAGATCTACACTACACGGAGACAGTTAGGTACACTGTGGAGTCTCTCAGTCTACTGTCTGAAACACCAATACATTCAGATCTACACTACATGGAGACAGTCAGATATAGCGTGGAGTCTCTCAGTCTACTGTCTGAAACACCAATACATTCAGATTACACTACACGGAGACAGTCAGATACAGCGTGGAGTCTCTCAGTCTACTGTCTGAAACACCAATACATTCAGATTACACTACACGGAGACAGTCAGACACAGTGTGGAGACTCTCAGTCTACTGTCTGAAAAACCAATGCATTCAGATCTACACTACACAGAGACAGTCAGATACAGCGTGGAGTCTCTCAGTCTACTGTCTGAAACACCAATGCATTCAGATCTACACTACACAGAGACAGTCAGATACACTGTGGAGACTCTCAGTCTACTGTCTGAAACACCAATGCATTCAGATCTACACTACACAGAGACAGTCAGATACACTGTGGAGTCTCTCAGTCTACTGTCTGAAACACCAATACATTCAGATCAGTCAGATACAGTGTGGAGTCACTCAGTCTATTGTCTGAAAAACCAATACATTCAGATCTACACTACATGGAGGCAGTCAGACACAGTGTGGAGTCTCTCAGTCTACTGTCTGAAACACCAATACATTCAGATCTACACTACATGGAGACAGTCAGATACAGTGTGGAGTCTCTCAGTCTACTGTCTGAAACACCAATACATTCAGATCACTCAATGCATTCAGATCAGTCAGATACACTGTGGAGTCTCTCATTCTACTGTCTGAAACACCAATACATTCAGATCTACACTACATGGAGACAGTCAGATACAGCGTGGAGTCTCTCAGTCTACTGTCTGAAACACCAATACATTCAGATCTACACTACATGGAGACAGTCAGATACAGCGTGGAGTCTCTCAGTCTACTGTCTGAAACATCAATACATTCAGATCTACACTACATAGAGGCAGTCAGATACAGCGTGGAGTCTCTCATTCTACTGTCTGAAACACCAATACATTCAGATCTACACTACATGGAGACAGTCAGAAACACTGTGGAGTCTCTCTATCTACTGTCTGAAACACCAATACATTCAGATCTACACTACATGGAGACAGTCAGATACACTGTGGAGTCTCTCAATCTACTGTCTGAAACACCAATACATTCAGATCTACACTACATGGAGACAGTCAGATACAGTGTGGAGTCTCTCAGTCTACTGTCTGAAACACCAATACATTCAGATCTACACTACATGGAGGCAGTCAGATACAGCGTGGAGTCTCTCATTCTACTGTCTGAAACACCAATACATTCAGATCTACACTACATGGAGACAGTCAGATACACTGTGGAGTCTCTCAGTCTACTGTCTGAAACACCAATACATTCAGATCTACACTACATGGAGACAGTCAGATACACTGTGGAGTCTCTCAGTCTACTGTCTGAAACACCAATGCATTCAGATCAGTCAGATACACTGTGGAGTCTCTCATTCTACTGTCTGAAACATCAATACATTCAGATCTACACTACATAGAGGCAGTCAGATACAGCGTGGAGTCTCTCAGTCTACTGTCTGAAACACCAATACATTCAGATCTACACTACATGGAGACAGTCAGATACAGTGTGGAGTCTCTCAGTCTACTGTCTGAAACACCAATACATTCAGATTACACTACATGGAGACAGTCAGATACAGTGTGGAGTCTCTCAGTCTACTGTCTGAAACACCAATACATTCAGATCACTCAATGCATTCAGATCAGTCAGATACAGCGTGGAGTCTCTCAGTCTACTGTCTGAAACACCAATACATTCAGATCTACACTACATGGAGACAGTCAGATACAGCGTGGAGTCTCTCAGTCTACTGTCTGAAACACCAATACATTCAGATCTACACTACATGGAGACAGTCAGATACAGCGTGGAGTCTCTCAGTCTACTGTCTGAAACACCAATACATTCAGATCTACACTACATAGAGGCAGTCAGATACAGCGTGGAGTCTCTCATTCTACTGTCTGAAACACCAATACATTCAGATCTACACTACATGGAGACAGTCAGATACACTGTGGAGTCTCTCTATCTACTGTCTGAAACACCAATACATTCAGATCTACACTACATGGAGACAGTCAGATACACTGTGGAGTCTCTCAATCTACTGTCTGAAACATCAATACATTCAGATCTACACTACATAGAGACAGTCAGTTACAGCGTGGAGTCTCTCAGTCTACTGTCTGAAACATCAATACATTCAGATCTACACTACATGGAGGCAGTCAGATACAGCGTGGAGTCTCTCATTCTACTGTCTGAAACACCAATACATTCAGATCTACACTACATGGAGACAGTCAGAAACACTGTGGAGTCTCTCAATCTACTGTCTGAAACACCAATACATTCAGATCTACACTACATGGAGACAGTCAGATACACTGTGGAGTCTCTCAGTCTACTGTCTGAAACACCAATGCATTCAGATCAGTCAGATACACTGTGGAGTCTCTCATTCTACTGTCTGAAACATCAATACATTCAGATCTACACTACATAGAGGCAGTCAGATACAGCGTGGAGACTCTCAGTCTACTGTCTGAAACACCAATACATTCAGATCTACACTACATGGAGACAGTCAGATACAGTGCTGAGTCTCTCATTCTACTGTCTGAAACACCAATACATTCAGATCTACACTACATGGAGACAGTCAGATACAGCGTGGAGTCTCTCAGTCTACTGTCTGAAACACCAATACATTCAGATCTACACTACATAGAGACAGTCAGATACAGCGTGGAGTCTCTCAGTCTACTGTCTGAAACACCAATACATTCAGATCTACACTACACAGAGACAGTCAGATACAGCGTGGAGTCTCTCAGTCTACTGTCTGAAACACCAATACATTCAGATCTACACTACACGGAGACAGTCAGATACAGTGTGGAGTCTCTCATTCTACTGTCTGAAACACCAATACATTCAGATCTACACTACACAGAGACAGTCAGATACAGCGTGGAGTCTCTCAGTCTACTGTCTGAAACACCAATACATTCAGATCTACACTACATGGAGACAGTCAGATACAGCGTGGAGTCTCTCAGTCTACTGTCTGAAACACCAATACATTCAGATCTACACTACATGGAGACAGTCAGATACAGCATGGAGTCTCTCAGTCTACTGTCTGAAACACCAATACATTCAGATCTACACTACATGGAAACAGTCAGATACAGTGTGGAGTCTCTCAGTCTACTGTCTGAAACACCAATACATTCAGATCAGTCAGACACAGTGTGGAGTCTCTCAGTCTACTGTCTGAAACACCAATACATTCAGATCTACACTACATGGAGACAGTCAGATACAGTGTGGAGTCTCTCATTCTACTGTCTGAAACACCAATACATTCAGATCTACACTACATGGAGACAGTCAGATACACTGTGGAGTCTCTCATTCTACTGTCTGAAACACCAATACATTCAGATCTACACTACATGGAGACAGTCAGATACAGATGTGGAGTCTCTCAGTCTACTGTCTGAAACACCAATACATTCAGATCTACACTACATGGAGACAGTCAGATACAGTGTGGAGTCTCTCATTCTACTGTCTGAAACACCAATACATTCAGATCTACACTACATGGAGACAGTCAGATACACTGTGGAGTCTCTCATTCTACTGTCTGAAACACCAATACATTCAGATCTACACTACATGGAGACAGTCAGATACAGTGTGGAGTCTCTCAGTCTACTGTCTGAAACACCAATACATTCAGATCTACACTACATGGAGACAGTCAGATACACTGTGGAGTCTCTCATTCTACTGTCTGAAACACCAATACATTCAGATCTACACTACATGGAGACAGTCAGATACAGCGTGGAGTCTCTCAGTCTACTGTCTGAAACACCAATACATTCAGATCTACACTACATGGAGACAGTCAGATACAGTGTGGAGTCTCTCAGTCTACTGTCTGAAACACCAATACATTCAGATCTACACTACATGGAGACAGTCAGATACAGCGTTGAGTCTCTCATTCTACTGTCTGAAACACCAATACATTCAGATCTACACTACATGGAGACAGTCAGATACAGCGTGGAGTCTCTCATTCTACTGTCTGAAACACCAATACACATTCAGATCTACACTACATGGAGACAGTCAGATACAGCGTGGAGTCTCTCATTCTACTGTCTGAAACACCAATACATTCAGATCTACACTACATGGAGACAGTCAGATACAGCGTGGAGTCTCTCAGTCTACTGTCTGAAACACCAATACATTCAGATCTACACTACATGGAGACAGTCAGATACAGCGTGGAGTCTCTCAGTCTACTGTCTGAAACACCAATACATTCAGATCTACACTACATGGAGACAGTCAGATACACTGTGGAGTCTCTCAGTCTACTGTCTGAAACACCAATACATTCAGATCTACACTACATGGAGACAGTCAGATACAGTGTGGAGTCTCTCATTCTACTGTCTGAAACACCAATACATTCAGATCTACACTACATGGAGACAGTCAGATACAGTGTGGAGTCTCTCATTCTACTGTCTGAAACACCAATACATTCAGATCTACACTACATGGAGACAGTCAGATACAGCGTGGAGTCTCTCATTCTACTGTCTGAAACACCAATACATTCAGATCTACACTACATGGAGACAGTCAGATACAGCGTGGAGTCTCTCAGTCTACTGTCTGAAACACCAATACATTCAGATCAGTCAGACACAGTGTGGAGTCTCTCATTCTACTGTCTGAAACACCAATACATTCAGATCTACACTACATGGAGACAGTCAGATACAGCGTGAGTGGAGTCTCTCAGTCTACTGTCTGAAACACCAATACATTCAGATCTACACTACATAGAGGCAGTCAGA